TTTAGGAACTCGGACGACATCGTCAGTAAGCTTGATGGACGCCATTTCGGGGAGGAGGGGTTGCCTAAAGGGGTAAGTTTCTAGTGCCTGAAGTCTGCCTTAGAAGGCAGGGCTCATAACCTATAGCAATGTAACTCAGCACGCGTTATACGCGGGACTAGTATATTGTAATACCTATAGCAATGTAACTACAGCGTATTAATCAGTATGAGTACGTAGAATAAGTAACAAGCATATGCTCACCTCAGCACGCGTTATACGCGGGACTGAGGTGAGCCAACGTGAATCGAAAGAGTTAAGTACACATTTGTAACAAGACGTCCATACTACAAGATGAGTGAGACGTGGCATTCGTAAACAAAACGGGGTGAATCCGCCAAGGCGGGACAAGGCGGGACAAGGCGCGTCAACGGCGCGACAAGACTTGTCCGCCCGAAACACGGCCGAGGCTCGCACCACGCTTGCCTCGCCGTACGCACTCCAACAGCTTTAGGGTTGAATTCAATCGAGTCCTAGCAGGGTAGTAGTAGCATGTATGCATACATTGAGAACGTGGTGTAGGACGGCAAGACAGCTCTCGTTCTGCGTTCTTCATGCATTGGCTTGAACGATTGACGGCCGCAAGCTCCGGTTTCGGAAGTCAACGCTATGAGTCGCGTGTCGTCACGCTCAGGTGACTTTAATCACTGCGAGCGTCGGGTACGCCAGAGTATGCGGATTCCGAGTCGCCATCGTGCGCGATCTGCACCAGTCTCCTGCCATCTCAGCCACCGCGATGCCTGCCTACCGCGCCAACCGACATGGCTTGCCTTCGATCACCCTCGAGAACGCAGCATCGCGATCGAGAGCGGCGAGCTCCCGGGCCACGAGCCCATCAAGCACTGGGAGGATCCCAACAAGATGAACGTCAAGGTCAACGTCTTTGGCTGGTCCGCTCCCTTTCCCATCGCGTCCGGAGGCAGACTGACAGGTGCCGAGGCGATAGGCAGGGCCAGCACGCGCTCATCCGGCTGCACCTCCCGAAGGACGACGACTTCCAGGCCGCGCGCCTCGCCGCCCTCTATATGATCTTCGACTTCAAGCACACCAAGCCGTGGTTGTGCGAGTTCTGCGGTGCGCCATTCTATGCATCATGCGAAGCCGATGACCATGTGTGATCCGCCACAGGCGAGCCGTCGCGCGAGACGCACATGCAGTTCGTCCCATACAGCTCCTACTGTGACGTCTGCCGCCTGCCCGTCTTCGTACGTCCCCTTCCTCTTCTAAGCTTCCTTCCATCCCCCGGATCTCATGCGAATGGCCTCACCATCCCCACTCTCCCCGATCTCCGGCCTCCCAGGCCCGCCCCGCTCCAGATCCACCACGTCTGCGACATGGACAAGCCCGCGTGCCGCGCCGCCCTCTCCACGCCGCCCACGACCGCCTCAACCGCGAGCACGGCTTCCTCATGGGCCCTCACGCGCCCCACCTCGACAAGCCTCCCGCCGAGGTCTACCCCCTCGCCGCCAGCTGCGCCGCCTGCAAGACCGACGCCAGCGCGCAAGACGACATGAAGCGCTGCAGCGCGTGCAGGATGACCAGGTGCGTCTTTCTTTCCCGGGCTCCGGCTCGCCGACTGCCCTCGTTCTCTCTGCTTCCCCGACCCGTGCGAGGGGGCGCTAGGGATCGGACGTGCGGGACGCAACGCAGCAGCTGACGGCCGTGCGACGGCGTGCGCAGGTACTGCAGGTGAGCGTGCTCGCATCACTCTCACTCGCACTCGCAAGTACTCGGCGTAGACACAGGGCCCTGACGCGTCGCTCGCGCCCCGCAGCCACAACTGCCAGCGCGAAGACTGGCCGCGCCACAGGACCGCGTGCAAGTGCGTCCAGTCCGTGCTCTTCGAGGCCTTCCCCGCCTGACTCGCCGCGCCCGCTGTACCCTCCATGGGTCGCATGCAACGAGGATAGTAACTACTGTGGGATCGGATCTGGGCTTGCGGGGCACCGGAGAAGTACGAATGCGAACGGAATACAGGAGAGAGCATGCGCGGCACGGGAACGGGCTGCGAAGGGAGGACATGTACTATCACACGAACATGGTTGCAAAGCATCTCTACTGTTTTGCTCGTACCGCTGTCCCTCGCTCACATAGAGACTTCATAAGCCACACAGAGGTGCATTTCTGTGCTACGTATAGCGCTGACCGGTTTATACTACTTTGCGAGGGATGGGACGGCGTTCGGGACACATCCGGCTCCGGCGTCTAGCAGTTCACATCACCTTGCAAATGGGCGCAGCACCCTATGCCGGCCTCCCGCTACGTCCATCCTTTTAGTCGCTTAGAAATCGGACATTTGAAGTGCGTTCGCTATGTATTCACCGAGTGTCGTACAAAAATCTAGACTTATCGGTTTGAATTTGGGGGAGGGATCTGGTCAGGAGTAGCTGGGATCAAGGGAAAACAGTGAATACGATGGCAGAGATGCGTCCCTCCAACAATCCCTTGAGAAGCTGCCTTCACGAAACTTGGCACATACGATGAGATGCATGGTCACATTGTGCCCTCCAAAGATCAAGGCGAACAGACCAGGGACGGATGGTAGATCGCTGTTGCACGGTGTTTGCACCACCACCGTGCAACATTTGCAACATTGTGCGTGGGATAGTACCATACACAAGTCTCGAGACATATCGAGGGCACCGCAGATCTGGGGGTCCGCGGGTGCGATGATGCTCGCGATCGCCTTCTGGCCTCCCGCGAGCTACGTACGTACTGACGTCTCTATAGAGTAGCACTATCTAGCGCATCTGGTGCGCACACAGCGACGCCTGCACAGAACGCCAGGGGATGCTCTATCGCCCATTGCATCTGTATGTGCATCCGTTTTCGCTCGCGCAGATCGCTCGTCATCGCGTCATCGATCATCTTCGAAGGCATGAGCGGGGTGAGCTTGGGCTGCACAGTCGAGCTCGAGACTGAACGTCCGAAGGGGATCGAGGCAGCGCAGACGCACGCGGGATGCAAACGACCGAGCTACAATTTGCTTTTCCGCTCAGCTGAAGCGCACTGCACGAGCAGGCTATATGGTACAATGTACAATGTACAACAGACAGACGACGGACGACGGACGACGGGACAACGCTACCGATACACAGTCCGCCCGCAGGCTGAACGCACAACCCCCAGTCCTAGGCCTCATTCACAATCCATCTCCGAAGCCGGAACGTACAAAAACAAAGTCAGCAGTCCAGCGCGAGCGCGGCAGTGAGAACGGCAGCACAGCGCATAGTCGAGGATCAAGGACAGTACTTGACGCACGGCCGGAACTCCTCGTTGAAGATGCTCTCCTGCGTCGCGCGCCCCACCTCCCTCAGCTCCGGCAGCAAGTCCCCCACCTCCACCGTCCCGCTCCCCGTGCCTCTCCAGCCACCCCTCGCCGACTCCGCGCCCGCCCTGCCCCTCCGGACGTCCAGCCGCTGCAAGTCCTCCCGGAGCATCTTGAACGGCCGGAGCAGCTCGAGGAGCTCGAGCACGTAGTCGCGCGACGACCACCCCGCGTGCGTCGGCGCCGGCGGGTGGCTCTGCAGGTACTCCGCGAGCTTGCCCACGTCCGCCGCACGCACCGCGCCGACCTGCACGCCGCCCAGGCACAGCGTGCGCACCGTCGCGCACACGTCGTACAGCGACGCCGGCGCGTGCCGCGCGTACCACTGCACCTCGTACTCGCTCTCGCGCTCGGCCCCCTGCCTGCTTTCGTCGCCCCCAGCAGTCGCACTCGCAGTAGGGGCGTCCTTCGTGCGCGGGCCCGCGCGCGCGGACTTGGTGCGCCGGCGGCGGCGCTGCGCGTACGCCTGGAAGGACGGCCCCGAGAGCGTCGCGCGGTCGGTGATGACGACGAGCGCCCAGTGGAGGTCCGCCTCGTGCCCGACGCCGCGGTACTCGTCCTTGTACTGCGCGACGACGATCGGGCACGTCCGCGGGCCCGCGAGCCGCTTGAGGAGCGCGGGCATTGTGAGCGTTTTGCGTGCGGGGTGGTTCTGTTTCTGAATACGGGGCGCGGGATGCGGGGCCGGGGGAGAGGAAAGTGGGTTGATGGAAGGCAGGAAGAGAAAGAAGGACGCGCGTCAGGATCTCGGAGGTCGCGTGAGCATGAAGCGAGGCAGGAGACACGTACGGATGATGAGTGGGCGTGGGCCCTGTCACGGTCGTACGGCGCGGAGCGGGCGCGCGCCTTGTGGTTGTGAATGGTGTTGTTGTTGACGTTGTGGCGTTTCGCGTTCTCCTTGTCGAGCTTCACGCGCACGGAGAGCGGGAGGAGGAAGGGCGGGATGTCGGCGTAGTCCGTCGATCGTGCGCGTTTTCGCCCCGTGGTGCTCGTGGTGGCCTTGGTGCCGGTTGGGGCATCCGGGGCGTCGGGCTGGGCGGTTATAAGACGGGCACTGGTGGTTCGCGCTTTGTCTAGCCACTTCGGCAAAGGGGCCATTGCGTCGCTTTGTGGGTGGTTGAAAGCGGAGGGTGGCGGGAAGAAAGAGGAAGTAAAGCGTGCAGGACAGGTGGTGGCTCGACGAGAGACCAAGACGAGTCGAAGGCTGAGCCACTTGAGCAGATTGCAGAGTCTTGGCGTGCACCAGTAAGCCAACGAGAGGACAGCAACGACGCGTACGCAGAGGTGGAAGTGGAGGGGAGACGCAGCAGTACCAGGAGCAGCACGGGGAGGAGACGTGGACGTTATATAGCTCCGCGCGGCGAAGGCCACGGTCCACGGTTCCTGCTCCGTGTGCGCCTCGAATCCAGGAAGTTCCCGCAGGCGCCCGCGAAGGCAAACCAAACGCCGCTCCGCCCTGCCTGCCCGCCTCGAAGCGCTCGCGCCCGTCTAGGCCCGATCGCCGAAAGACCCCGGAACGGCGACGCGGGAGCAAACCGAGACGATCACGGGTTTGGTTAGGCGGACGTGCGGATGGCACAGGCGCGAAGGAGTGTTTGGCGGTAAACGTTCTTTGCGCTTTGTGAGCCAGACGCGCCCGAAGCTGTGCAGCTGCGGGACACGCGAAGGCCTCGTGTTCGCCCTGTCGCCCAAGCGTATCTGGACTGCTGGGGTGAAGTCGATCGGCCTCGGTGGGTGCGCGGAGAACGTACGTGCTAAGTGGCGGTGGTGGTGTATTTCGGTCACGATTCGCACTATGCACATACGAGGGACGAGTATGATGGGCGGTGGGGGACGAGAACCGCCGATGGTGGGAGATGCTGCTGGGAAATGAAAGGCAAAAGGCTTGCGTATGCCTTTCTGACCGTCCAGCGATCCCTCTCGCCGCTCTCAACGTGTGCCGCTAGTCCCTAATTTGGAACATTCGATGGTAGATAGCAGTGCGACGTTCTTCCTGCGCGCTGGGATCTTGGTTACTCGGATCGTCCATCGCGCATCCCCGCTATCGGTTCCACCTCCTTCCATCCTGTCTCCTATCGGGCGATGCGCGCTCGTCCATCCTGGAGCTTGGTGCGCTCGCACAAGTCCGAGAGCCCCATTGACGTTCCACCGACCCAATGGCTCAAAACCGCCCGGGCTCGCCTATCGCAGGCCAAAATAGACTATCGTCCGCCCGTGTCCACCAACGCATCGTGTAAACATATCCCGCGATCCCAATCAGGTACGCGATTTGGATAGCTGTGACCACACGCCACGAAGTAGACAAAGACGCAAACAAACGGGCAGACACGCGCACACACCGATCGGGCCCCGTCAGCGGAAATGGATGCGGATGTGATGTGGCTGACTGAAGCTTACCGCGGCGCCGGTTTGGGAGCATCCTGACGTGAAAGCCGTATTGCGGGAGGCCCATGACGTTGCAGAAGATGTGGGATACCGTGGGCGGCAGGAGGGAGCCTGTGCGGAGGAACAGGAACGCACAGTGGAAGCCGAAGAGACTCGTGTACGCGAGCTGGAACACTGCGACACCGTTCAGACCGTCAGTCGGCGACCTGACTGCGACGCATAACCGGGAGGCACTCACGAGTTTGCATGGCGGCGATCCGCAAAGCGGAGGCCGTACGCCCGTAACGATTGTAAGTGTCCCAGGCGTGGTGGAGGTGCGCTTGTGGTCCGAGGAGCGTGTCAGCGCGCACGGCCATGAAGCTTCGGGTGGGAGTAGCTCACCGAATCCGAATACCAGCGGGGAAAGGAAGATCATCTTATTGCGGGACGCGCCCGCCATATGATAGACCGCCAAGACACAAGCTCGGAAGACGACTTCCTCGGTGACGGGACCCTGCTCATGGGTGCATTATCAGCACCAAGCGTCCGGTGTAGATGAGCAAGGGCGGCGTCGCACCACCACATAGTTCCGAATCCCAATCAATGAAGTGAATGTTGGCAGGAAGTCCTCACTGAAACTCCATCGCCGTTGGAAGGGGAGCCTTTCGGAAAGATATGCGGCATAGAGAGGTCCAAGGTACAGCACTGGAGCCACTAAACAAGGTGAGATGATGTAGAGGTCGCTGTTCCGGGCAAAAGTTAGGGTGATGCCGAGGCGAGCAAGCGTAGACTCTAGGGCGACCGTGGGGTTCTTGCTCTTCTGTGAAGACGCGACATTAGCATCTGTGATACCTACGTAACTCGCCAACGAGAATATCGCTATTTCTTAGAGGCCTGGAAATGCGGTATAAAACAAGCCACGACCACATCAACGTTCAACTAGACAACACCAACGACTGCAGCTGACCTTGAAGCACATCCGCCTCTAAACTTGCGCGTCGGGCAAGCCAGCTACATGTGTGCTCCAGTTAACGTGCTCAGAAAATAAAAATGGTCACGACGGTGAAGAGTGTCAGCAGCCATGTTTGACACAATCTCCCCGATGGGACCTATCGGGCCGCATACAACACGCTGTACTTTAGTACTCGCGGGCCTTGTAAGTTGGTAACCTGGGATGGTCTCTATGCTCGTCACCGTTCCACATCTTTGTGGGACCGAGGAATCAGGAACAAACTCAGGGCACGTCTAGTCGCCGTGTTGAAGCTTGAACGACTAGGGATGGACACGGCTCGTGTCAACCCACCTCGGGTCCGCGTATATGCCGGTGCTGCAGCGACGGAAAGCTTCGTTGCACTGCGGTGAAAGGGCTTCAAGATCAAGGTACCTCCAGCACAATCGCCCCTTCTGCGACCCTCCATGACATACAACGGTCCACACATTGAGGGGCATTCGCGCGCACGGCCACTGCCCGTGCGAGCCGCTGCACATGCCCAAGAGGAGCCGGGAACAAGGAAGGGGTCTTCTCGCTGGCGCTGCTGTACTTGACAAGGGCTCGTGCGATAGCACTAGCTACCTACTTGCCACTGGGGATGCTGTGTACACCGAAAACTCTTGACAGTATCTCTGGCGACAAGCAGATAGCCATGCTGCACTCTTGGTATACCCCAGAGCCCCATACACGGGTCACCCGACCTTTGACCCGTACGAGATCACTCGGGTATGTACCCGCTGTTCCTTCTTTCTGATCTCCGAGCACGCCGTAGCGATACGACCACAAAGAGGCTGAGGGTGGACAACAAGCCAACAATGACAGTTGGGTGCACATACCTCAGCCGCCGGAGTAATGCCCTGCACGAGCAAGTACACGGCGAGCACGCTCCCCAGCGTGCTCAAGCTTGCCGCCAGGAGCCTCGCGCGAATCACTTCTGGGTCGTTCCTCCACCGCTCGTCGCTATCCTTCGCCCTCTCTTCTCCGTCGCGGACATTGTGGGACACGCCAGTCTTGAATGAGAGCCGCGCATTCTTCGTGGCGTAGAGCGAGCCGACGTACGAGAAGGTGAAGAAGGCGGTGAACGCGTGGGCGGTCGACAGCGAGATCGGCGGGGAGGGAAAGACGAGTGGCATCGTTGTCGCAGTCACTGAGTCAGTTCAAAGATAGGAGAGCCACAAGAGTCGGAGGGTGATTGTGCAAGACAGCTATGGAGGTAGGGGTACTTGAAGACGTAGGGTATGGGGTATAGCACTATGGATGCCGTCGCGTGGCGAACCTCGTACAATAGTAGATTGTACGCCTTGAGAAAGAAACCGGCCCAAGAAAGCGCAACCAAGCAGCTAGCAGAGAACAGCTAAAGCGTGAAGATAAATCATAAGAAGCACTCAGAATGAGAGCCGCAGTGCTCAGAGTATGCTAAGACTCGAACCGAGTTCGTCGTGGACAGCGAGCGCGCATGCCCGGCGTCTCCCAATGTCACACTTGTTTGCCTCCACCCACGATGGGGCCGAGCTCCGAACCCGACTCATCGCAGGCCTTCGTTTGCTATCTAGAACGCATAGGATGGTCATAGTGGACTCAACATCAGGTGCCCTCTTACTCCCGGGCTCTAGCGGGGTCTTGACCGTGCTAACCTCGGCGTCCCGCAGATCCCTTCACGGATGACTATGCTGATCCACCATCTCCCGTCGAGACTCTGCTACCTGAGTGAGATTATATCGTGTAGCGACATTGATCGTCCCACCTGATATGTTCCGGTGGATGCAGTTACACGACGGAGGCGAACACACAGCCACCATCACTTCCTCCTAGGTATGCCACCCTCCGAGTACTTGGGGCATAGCACGCTTATCAGGTACATAAGCTATAACCTCATTGCGAGGCCACCTGCGCCGCGGATATACACGTTTTCGTCATGGAGCAATGATTCTATGTTCTTGCTGCCGTCGCGAGACGTCGACCGCACGCTCACTCCAATCTACAATATAACCGTCGCGCTCAATCTGAACCCCTTCGTACCGCTGTCATATGTGACAACAGTACGACGAGGTATGGACGAGCAGGGGGAATTGATCGGCGAGTTCGAGTGAGTGCCGCCCCTTTGCGCACCCTATCAAGGAGGTGATTGCCGACCAGCCTGAGCGGTCTCGTGCTTGCTAGATTAGCCGTTATGCACAGTCGTGCGATTTTGAAGATGGGCAACCACTCCACACGGATGTCAAACGTCTTGAAAAAAGATGGACACTCTTCGGTACGTGCTCGTTCAAACCCTGCTGGAGGACAGCGTCAACATCCGGCTATCAAGCGAAAATTTGTCTGGGTTTACGGCGATGTCGAACTGCGATGGGATTGTCGTACTACTCTAGAAGACGGCTCGCCCATGTGCATAGTGCGTGCATTCCTTCAGTTTTATAGTGTGTATATTGCACTAATGCACTGTACGATAACGTTGACAGTGCACAGACAGAGGGTCGCACCAAGTGGCATCGTTCGTTCCGCCGCCCCTGGAAGCGTCGCCGCCACCGCCCGCCGCGACGTTGACAGTCTTCCCAGATGGACACGAGCTGTTCGACCACATCCTGTTATCTGCGCTGGTTATAGAACGCAAAATGACGCTTTCGTTCTGACATTCCCCGCTTGCTTCGCGGGGTGTCCAGTACGCGGTTGGGTATGCATGTATTTCGCTCGACCAAGGAACTCGAGAGGGTCGCCGTTTGGCGGTCAGAAGAGACACGCGCGTGTGTGTCCCTGGGCATTCCGCAACGCCGCTGTCACATCAAACGCCGCCATGGAGTTAATGAAAGCCAACGACTCCTTTGCTTCCCTGCTGCCTACGGCTGACCTCGAATTACTCGTTCTCACCAGTCTCGACCAGTCTCGACCATGACATGGTGCGACTGCTCGCCTTTCAAGGGTACGTATGGGCCGTCATACGAACCAAACAGCATTCGCAGAGATGAACTACTTGGCTTGGACACTGGTCGGCGATAACCTTCCTTCGTCCGACAGACCCTGATAGAAAAGTTTGAAGCCTACGTCTACATGACAGCGTCTACGACGCTCTGCGGATCTGTCTTTAGGTTCCGTCCGTCGATATCGGACTCCGGGGCAAGGTCTCCTCTGCAAACCTTCGAACACAGCGCTTAGCGCTTTCTTCGACCGAAATCCTGGCGCAAATCCAGACTATCAACATGGATCCGACCTTTCGAAAGTTCTCCACGGCGCTATTGTGGTCGACATTAGTCGCCTCCCTACTTGCATCAATATACAGCGGGTCTGTATCACTTGCTAAGCAGGCCGCACTGTGCGCGATAACGATAGTGGTCAATATGGCCGAGGCCAAATGAGGTAATTAAGTTATCGTTTGTCCGCATTAGCCACTCGGCCGTCGCCTCGTTGCTTCGAAGCGGTCAAAGTGCGCAAGCAGTGTCTGCGATGGAGAGCACGCGAGTAGCCGTTGTCCGCGGCTAGTCATCTGGACAATTCCCGCTCCCGAAAAGCGATCTTCCGCTGGCTGGTGAAGACGCATCGGCTACCCGCTGTCCGCTGCAGAGCCCCGCAGCGATTTAGTGTTCTTAGTCCCCGCTGGGGTATAAAGTCCAAGGCGTATCCACTCATTATCGTTAGCGAATTCCTTCAGCTACCCACATTCCTTAGCTTCTCAGCCTTCCGATCTACTCGATCACCCACCACTCTTTCGTTCTTCCCTCAACACTCCCACATCACACCTTTCGAAATGTTCTCCAAGCTCGCTATCACCGCCGCCATCGCTGGCCTCCTTGCGGTCGCCACCGCCCTCCCCACGCCGACCGACGACGGCTCTGCGGGCAAGTGCAACACAGGCCCCGTCCAGTGCTGCAACAGCGTCGGCTCGACGACCGACAGCTCGTTCACCAGCGGCCTCGGCGAATTCCTCCAGCTCGCGCTGAAGGACATCACCGCCGACGTCGGCATCCAGTGCTCCCCCATCACTGCCATCGGTGGTTCCTTGACCAGCACTTGGTGAGTCTCATAGATAACATCGGCCGAGGTTTGCACACGGCTAATCCCAGCTTCTCTAGCGACGCCCACCCCGTCTGTTGCGAGAACAACTCCACGGGTATGCAGGAAGCTATCTCTCAATAAAATGCTGTGGTTGCTCACTTTCGCGCTTACAGGTGGCCTCATCAACATCGGCTGCATCCCCATCACTCTCTGATAGGTGGACCCGCTGCGTTTCCCGCCGTCTCATACCCTGGCGTTGGCGTATCAGTGGTCATAGCCTTTTGGAAGGGAGATGAGATGGGACGCTATCACTAAACCTGGATCAGATGCTTGTGTTACCTGTATACCCCGATTAATCTGTCGCTGACACTATCGGACGTTTTACCGCACATTCCCTTGCACGACGGGCACCGCCTCGAATCGTTCTTTGTGAAATCGCTGTAGAATCTCTGGGCAAGTACAACTTTCCCGTTGCCCACCCTTCAGCGCCTTTTGGCACGCGTCAGCAAAGGGATAAGTTAGGACTGTCCCGAAAGAAGACCTCCATTTCACGCGAAGCCGGGATTCTGAGCGCTGCCAGTCGTGTTGCTTGCATCGTCTACTACTCGTGGGACGTTAGCGAATCAGACCGTTGCATTGAATGAGCTTGATCATGCCTTGAGCTCGGCCGGGACCTACACAGACGCTCACAGATTAGATTAGATTTCGCCGTTCAGCACAGATCTGTCATGATCAGAGCTTTGAGGACACAGATTTTATCCCTACCGCCCCTCTGTTCCTCAGTTCTTGCCGAACGTACTGGTTGTTGTCTCAATAACTCTCACTGGGCCGGACATAGTTTTGATTGAGTTGAATTGGTACATACGGCGCCACGATACAGTGCCTACTAGTAAGGTATCACGAAGTGACACCGCGGCCTAACCAACCTCCAAGTCATAGCTGGACTTCTCAGTTTATCGCAATGGTCAAAAAGAAGGGAAAGGGAAAGGAGGTATCCAAAGTAACCGCAAAAGCCGCTAAGAAAGCGAAAGCAGCGCAAAAGGTGGAGAAGAAGGAGAAGAAGAAAGTAAGCAAGACCAAAGACGAATTCGAGGACGACGATCAGGATTTGGAGAGCATCCTCGATAGGGTGAGTCCGCCCGTCTCCGCATTCTCGTACGGGTGGGGTAGTGGAAGATGTCTCTAACGCGGAGTCGGTCAGTAGATCCAAAGGGAATGGGAGGAAGCGCATAAAGTCACCGAAGAGCTCGTGGAGGGACCTCCTAGTCGGCGCGCGAACGCGACGCTCACTCCTTGTCCAAACGGTAACCACCTATGGTGCATCGGTGGGGAGTTCTTCAGCGAAGATGGGAAGGCGGTGAGCATACGTCCGTCCTCTCAGGGCGGAGGTACCGGGGTATTCACCGGACGCAGTACTTCTACAGCGACGTCTTTCGGTATTCCCCTGAAAAGGTGTGTTGCATCACCATGTACATGCAGTTTACAGCGTCCCTTATCATGTGTATATTCAGAACGAATGGCGGAAGTTCGTCTCCCCGACATGTCCTGGTCCCCGCTCCGCTCACGCCGTCGTAGCAAGCCCTGCTGGAGGAGGCAAGCTATACTTGTTCGGTACGTTCTTCCCGTTGTCCCCTCGTCGAAAATCACCATGGAAACGGGTGTACATGACAATGCTCTAGGCGGAGAGTTCTCGTCTTTGTACCAGAACTCTTTCCATCACTATCGCGATTTTTGGTGCTTCGATATCTCCACACACTCATGGGAGCGCATCGAGACCAAAGTCCGTCCGACGGCACGTTCAGGGCACAGGTATGCACCGGTGCTATCGTTCGCCAAGTCCCGTACATTGCTTACGACCTGTTCGTTTCCCGCAGGATGGCGATGTGGAAGCATTATATCGTCCTGTTTGGGGGGTTCTATGACCCGGGCATCAAGAGTACGTTCGCGCTTCCACCTAGCCGTGCCACCCAACATCGCTCATATCGTGCTAAGCGAACTACCTTAATGATCTGTGGATATTCGACACGCAAGAGTACAAGTGGAGACAGATCGAATTCAGGGACACCGATCGGAAACCATCGTACGTCGCGCCAACCTGAGTTGCTTCCATTCTCGAATGCTCAGCGCCGCAACTTCCAACAGACCGCGAAGCGGTTTTTCGTTCTTACCCACAGCGGACGGCATCCTCCTGTATGGAGGCTACTGCAAGGAGTACGTCAAGGGCCAGCGTCCCGTAGGCGTCATGCTCGACGACACCTGGTTCCTCCGGTCCGTATCTGATCCATATCCGGACCCGTCTCCCCCCGCTATAGCCATAAGTGCTGACCGCCTCCCTGCAGGATGTCCCTTAATACCGCTGAAACACCAGACGTCTCATCCAAACCATCTTCCAGCAAATTGTCTGCAGGAGAGCCACTCACCCTCAAATGGGAGCGGCGCAAGAAGACGGCATACGCGCCTTCTCTGCGCTCGGGATGCACGATGGCGCTCTGGGCGGCCAAAGGAATGGGTGTGCTCTTTGGTGGGGTGACGGATGAGGACACGAGCGAGGAGACGATGGAGAGCGTATTCCACAACGATCTGTACGGGTACCAGATTGCCGGAAATGGGAAGTGGATGTCGATGCTGCTCAAGAAGCCGAAGAAGAAAGTTGGGAACGCGCAGAGGAAGAAGGTGCAGCAGTGGCAGCAGCAACAACAGCAGAAAGGGTCCGAAGCGGAAGAGGACGATGAGGACGATGAGGTGGAGGAGGGGAGCGACGTTGAAGGGAGGGACAAGGTATGTCGCGTTTGAGTTAGGATGCTGCGGTAGGCTGGGAGTTTGACTGGCGACTGTCCAGGAGGACCTAACCCCCTCGAAGCCTCAGAAGGCCGCTTCTCTGCCGAAGCCCGTGACGCCCACGCCTCATCCGGAAGATGAGATCGACCCGGACGATCCATTACTGACCGTCCCGCTTCCGCGGTACAATGCGATGCTCGCCGTACTCCGCAGCACACTCTATATGTACGTCTCGCCCCCTCATGATACACCTACATCATCAGCTGATAACGATACACGTGAAGCTACGGCGGGATCTTCGAGAAAGGGTCGCGCGAGTACACCCTCGACGACTTCTACGCGCTCGCGCTCGACAAGCTCGACCGGTACGTGTGCCTGAAGAAGTCTGACATCGTCATCGACGACAAGGAGGAGAGCAGCGACGAAGACGATGTCGAAGACGACGATGAGGAGGATGACGATGACGATGAGACGACGGAGATGGACGATATGGAGAGCGTGGCGAGCGTCACGGTTGTTGGCGAGGATGATGAGAAGGAGGTAGACGTATTGGACACGATCGAGGAAGAGAAGGTGAGTCGCTGTCTCCTCAGGACTCTAGGCGGTAGGGTGCCGAAGCATTCCGTGTCCCACAGGATTTGTTACGGTTGCAGGCGACTGCTTTCATGGGCGTTGCGAAGGACGCGTCGCGGTCCCCGGAGGATGTCATTAGCACGCCTCTTCCCGGAGAGACCCTCGCTATGTTCTACGCTCGCTCACGTGCGTCATTCAATATCTCGATCCTGCCGCGGGACGTCGACTGACGTGCTGATTCTTTGTAGGCGAGTACTGGGCCGGAAAGGCATTCGGTACCAGCGACAATCGCGGAAAGCTGCTCCGGAGAGATGGCTTTACGCTTGCGGAGGATCGATATGGTGGGTCGCGTTGCTTGTTGAGTCTCCCCGTGCGAAGCTAGATGGGCCTTCTATGTACAGCGGAGTACAAGCCGATCCTCGAAGAGGTCGAACGCATCCTCGCGGAAGCGGGTCTGGACGAGGAGGAGATGCGGAAGGGCGCTGCGGGTGGGCCACACAACCCGAGCGGACAGAGCAGGAATCGCCGATGACAGGAACAAGGTGTATCCCCAACTTGCCGAGTCTGTGTACAGTCCTCAGTTCGTCACACTATGTTACGAACAACTGCAGCCGACGTGAACGCACTGACTTCGACGATGGGAAGGAGTGACCTACACAAATGACTAGAACCCAAGTTCGTGTAGCCACTCTTCGATCTTGACCAGCCCCTCCTGTTCAGTTACCGCCGCCGCGCCTTTGACAACTATCTTATCCACGCCCGGGTCCTTCCATAGCCTGCTTTCCTTCTCGAGCGCGGGCAGTTTTCGCTTCGTGACCATGACTCCAACTGGGAAGCTGACCTCGAAGTCGAATGCGCGCAGCGGTGTTGGAAGCATGCGCCTGTTCGCCGCGGCGAACGCCTCGTTCGAGGACGGTGGGGAGATGAGGAGCAGGGCGGAAGCGGGGTGTGACGAGACGTAGGTCTGCGCGATGAGGGTGCCTCCGTCGCGGGCGATGATGACCGGCGCGAAAGGGATCTCGAGGGAGCGGGCGTGAGCCGCCATGTCTGCGTGGTAGTGTGAGCTGCGAGCACTATATCGCGATTCAAGCGTTCCTGAGGCAACGGAGGCGTGAATCTGGCGCGCCATGTATGTAGATTGATAACGGCACCACAACACGGCTGCAGACGCACCACACCGATGTGGGACATGTGCAAGGGGAGATATGCCCATTCATTAGATAAAGACACTCACCGTCCTCGTACGCTTTCATGAGAGCTTCCGATGTAGATGTATCTTTATCGAAGGGGTATCCGAGATCAAGCTCGAGACAGGTGTACCCTTTCTCCGCGAACCACGCAGCACACCGGCCCATCCTTCGCGTGTCTCAGCATCATTGGCGGGCGACCGGGACCGTCAGTAGGTAACTAACCCATTCTTGGAGCGTGGGTCCCATTCACTTGAGTAGACGAAGAGAAGCGGGATAGGGACCTGTCGCCGAGCGGAAAGCGAGGGTTTATGCAAGAGGTGCGTGGTCGTGGACGATTGCCTGATGATGTTGGGGAAGATACCGCCTCGGCTGGAAGCGCAGACGATGCGTGGGCGAGCGAAAGACTTTGGATGGCTGAAAGTGCGAGATAACAACATGTTGTGGTACTGATAGGTGTGTCTTGCGACAGTAAGGGCCGGTTTGGGCGCTACAGGCCGCACCATAGTCTAACAGGCTTATTGGCGCCTACGGTACAAGTATTCTGTCCCCTGCTTCAATCATCCATCTCTGGCCTCTGTTCCGGGACCCTAACATCAGCACACAGCGCATGACATTCATCACAGGGGGTTAAGCTGACCGGGCGCTGTCTCTCTTACCTGAGGCAGAACTGTGCAGACTCGCGGAAGCTCCTCTGGAGGGTGGGCTTCTGTCCTCCAGAATCGCGATTCTGCTGTCCGCCATTCTGTCTCCACAAAATTCTCCCCAAAATCATCCCTGGAATCATAAACCGGTATGGGATGGTCAGAGTAGCGTACAATTTTGACACAATTCGGAGGTTGACAACCGGCATAGAATCGGTTGCATCATCGCCTCGATGTCGCGCACTCTGACTATCCCTATTGTCGGGCATCACACCACAAGCCGAAGGGCTACAACGTGGTCTGAGACCCCTACGCGTCCCAAAGAGAAGGGATCTGAGCGATTCTGAGGCAAAATCGCCTCCAGCATCCTCCTCAATGCATCTGGCCACCCCTAACGGGCTCAAGGAACGCCAGCACGTCAGGGAAGGTTTTCCAGCGGTTATGCTAGATTATAAGACAAAGGTATCATGTCTACTGCATAGGAAATAACCAAACCTAACAGCCCGCCGCATCGAGCGACGACTGCCCTCTGCCCTCTACATGATCATGCTCATGAACACCGTAGTTGTCTGTCTTCTTCTTGCCTTGATTGCCCGGGCTTTCTACGTTAACTAGTATCGGAAAGAAAGAGGCGAGATATTCCCAGGACCGCCGCCTCTCCCCTTCTTCGGCAACGTATTCCAACTTCTCGTAAGATCTGGGTCAAGCTCGCCGAGTTGAGCAAGGCCTATGGTATGCACCTTTTTCGCGTCTTCATCCTGGCCTAGCCTCTAACGTGTACGTTGCAGGCCCCATATACTCTCTACGCCTACTCAACACCCCAATAGTAGTGATCAACTCGGCTGAAGTGGAGAGGGAGCTTCTGGATGTGAAATCTGCCTTGTACGCCAACAGGCCATTGCCGTCGAGCTGTAAGTACCCAACTTTCTCTATCAAACATGTCCAATGAGGGAGACATTGTACCGACGATAGATCGGGCTTCCACCAAGGTCCTGTCCTAGAACATGACCCTAGCCGGCGACGTCTTGAGCGAAAGCTGCTACACACAGCGCTCCAGGCCAGCAAGATCAGCGAGTACCGGGATGTTCAAGACTACCACATCAATACGTTCCTGTCTAACCTCCTGCAGCATCCAAAGGATTTTTTCCACCACATCCGACAGTACGTCCGCCGAGCTATACACGCACTATAGATGGGAATCTGCACTTACGCGACCGTCGCAGTCTCTCCGCAGGTGTCACCGTCGAGATATCCCATGGTTATCGTGTGATGAGCCGCAATGATGAATATGTGAAGGAGGCAGACGTCTCCGTGGTGAACTTTGCCGACGCCGCCCTTCCCAACAACTATATTGTCGATTGGTTCCCCTCCCGTGAGTCCTCAATTATCCCTAGTCCTGGCAATGCGTCTGACTCCACGTCTGTGTAGTCGCAGCGCTCCCGGCTTGGCTTCCAGGAATGGGATTCAAGAGGAAGGCCGCGGAGTACCGCAAGCAGTACTACGCACTCGCGGAGGAGGGCCACCGCATGGTCAAGGCAGAGATTGTGCGTCAAGCTCGAAGACGGGCGACCCGCCAGCTTACTCTATCTCTAGGCTAAGGGCACCGCAAGGCCGTCGCTTACCTATACAGCGCTCGCGGAGTCGAGCCCCGGTCAGTATCCAGACGATATCATCATGTTCACCACGACGCAGGTATACACCGGTACGGACACTCTCCCCCACTTATGTTTTTGGAAAAGCTCAGAAGTCATTCTTGTTCAGGTGGCGGGGATACGGTACTTCCAGTCTCGAATGTCGCTCCTGAGTCCTACTGATGACCCCTCAGTCCTCGTCCCTTCTTGCTTCATTTTTCCTCGCGCTTCTGCGGAAACCGGAGGTCGTAAAGAGAGGCCATGAAGAGATCGACCGTATAGTTGGTGACGAACGGCTGCCGACCTTCGACGACCGCGCCAATCTACCTTATATTCAGGCGATAGTCGCTGAGGTCGCGCGCGTTCGCCCTCCAATCAGTTTTCGTGCGTGTTGCATGTGTTTAACAATGGTTTCGATGCTTTCTTATTTGTATGGTGGGCAGTGCCTCGACTCGCTGGACAAGACGATGTCTACCGCGGACATCACATCGAGAAAGACTCATACGTCCTGGTGAACTACTGGTATGTATCTCGCTTAAATACTATACTCGCTCATAGAAGTTGACGTCCCTTGTTGCTGATAGGGGAATGATGCACGACGAAACCCTCTACCCGGATCCCGACGCGTTCAAACCAGAGCGCTGGCTATCGATGGAACGGAACCCGAAGACGTACTCACTCGACGTCATCTTCGGGTCTGGGAGACGGTACGTAGAATTTGATCTGTAACGGTGTCGACCTCGTCGTGACTTCGTCTTCACACCCTTCAACCGTAGTATTTGTCCAGGCTGATTCCTTGCGATGGAACTGCTGTTCACGACCATCGCCAGAGTGCTGGCTATGTTCGACATATCGCCGGCTCTCGATGATAATGGCAAGCCTATCATTCCACTAGAGGAGTGCACTGACGGTGGTATCACGTGTGTCTTTCCACTTCCTGTAAGTTAAAACGCGAGCGTGTTATACTGATTGCCCAGATCTTTAACAGATGCCCGCTCCCATTCATTTGCAGTATCAAACGTTCATCTCATGTCGCGGAACTGTTGCCCGGGGACCAAGGGTAATACGATGCTACAGTCACAATCCTTTCTTGGAGTACGTACATAGGGCGAGTTTGTCTTGGGATGGTTCGATTGACGGCCCGAAGGATCATAATGTCTGTCAACCGATCAGACGTGACTATTGCTCTAGAGGGGTGACCAACAGCGCTCGAAGGTCTTATCAACGTAGCCCACCAACGTCCTTCCCGTGTGATCACACTGAGCCTCCGAGTTAATATACATTTCAAACGACACTTTGTTCAGGGTGAGGAATCATGAAATGAGACCGAGTACTCCTCCGTTTCCCACTGTTCAGGCCGTCTCTTGCGGGTGAACGATGAGCTTCACCCCACTAACTTGGTTAGCCTTCAGCCGCTCCAAACCACCAACGACCCCGTTCAGTCCGCCAGAGAGGACTTCAACCCTGTTGGGCTACAACGCAGCATAAGTATCAACATCACAGTCCCGGACAATGTACATCAGCGCAAGGTACTCTCACCTTGATGTCGCCGGTTTCAAGCAACTTCGGAAGGCTCGAGAGCAGCGGCCCAGACACCTCTCGGTTGATTGGTTGCATAAACAGACCCTGCGCAAAGTGCACGTTCTTCCCTTGCTTTCTAGCCTCTTCAGCCGTCTCCGCAGGGGAAAGGACGACAACGAGGTGGCCGCCGGGGGCAGTAGCAGCCAGGGAGAGAGGGAAGGTGTCCGCGACGGAAACGGCGTCATAGACAACGTCAAACTGCCCGCTCGCAATCTTAGCGAACTCGGCCTGGAGCTCTCCGGCTGCGAGTTTGCGGTCCACGACGTGTGTCGCGCCCAGGGTTTTGAGGAACGCGGCATGGTGGACGGAGGCGGTCGCCACGATGGGGGAGAAGCCGGACAGGCGAGCAAACTGAATAGCTGGGCAGAGGAAGGGTCGGTATTCCGTATTCGTGTACTTCTGATATGGCATGAGGGTACGAACCGAACTGTCCCATGGATGTGGCCCCACCGACGACGAGGAACGATTTCCCCGCGTATTTCCCCCTTCCGCCCTCCTTCCAAGGAGGGAAGAGCTTGACCGAGTCTGCTCCTTCGACATGGTTGTACAGCGGCAAGGCGACCGTCGCAACACCGCTCAGGACAGTGGCTGCTTCGTCAAAGGGCAAATTCTCCGGAAACTACCTCCGTGTCTCAGCAGTGTCCAGGCCTTGTTATGAATGGCATAACCGACCTTTGCAACGAACTGGTGGGGGAGGGTGAGGTACTGAGCATAGGTACCACGTGTAGTTTGCTTTTCGAAGTCAATATCGCCTTGGAAGATGCTGATTGATCATGATGAGTGGTCTCGAGCTCCTGAACGAATTTGATCGACTCACACGCGGTCCCCGACTGCGAATGCCTCCGGGGAGACCTTCTCGCCGACCGCGATCACGATGCCAGACGCGTCGCTTCCTAGGACGACAGGGTACTCATTGACGAGTATGCCGTATGTCTGTATCTTCCAGTCCGCCGGGTTGAGGGCTGCGGCCTCGATCTTCACCAGTAGGTCCTCGGGGCCGGGGCGCGGGACGTCCGTCGTTTGTACGGTGAAGTTCCCGAACTTGGCTTCGAGAACGAGAGCTTTCTGCTGGGTTGGGATAGACATGGCTGGCTTGGGAGGACGGTAGGGTGTATGAACTGTCGTTGGAGCACAGTGTAGTTACAATGCCCTTTATATAGTTTGGCAATCCTTCAGAAGGCCACGGGATTGACGTGGTCGAGACACATCTCGGAGAGCGGCGAACCTGACTAAGGCAGATCATCAGCCCGTGGCAGGTAGAAAGGAAAGCCCAACACGTAAAATCACCGTGGAGTCTTCTGCTTGTCGAGTGTAAAGTCCACCCACGTCCATTCGTGCTACTTCGGGTGGTACAGCGACATCGACCCACGGAAGCGCCCAGCCCCACAGGGGGGTCCGAAGCGTTGAATGCCCATATTCTGGTCTCCTCGCTCTCGGCCCGAGCTCGTCAGCATACGATGGAGATAGGGAAGAAAGTGACGCAGGTGAATGAGAATCCGAGATATCCAGGCTCCGAGCTTCGCGGATTCGGAAGTAATCACGCATTCGTTTCACGGATTCGGAACTATTCACATACCCGGATTTTGACAACCCGTATGATACGCGCCATTTCGACGGGGAAAGAACGCCTTCGAGTTGAGTGAGTAGGTACGCGTTGTCACTGAGGACAGTGCGTTGCCCTCAGTTCCTTCTTTACCATCGTGAAGCCATTTCTTCACACGATGAACGCCGCCCCCCCGGTCGAGCTTGACATACGGAGTTGCGAGTAAGTGTCCTGCTCCTGCCGCCGTGACCGCACTTCGCATGCGTTGACCACAATGCTCATTGGGCGACACTTCCTGGTCCGTCTTGCTCTGCGTTGCCGTGGATTGTTCATCCAAACCTTGATGTCCTACTTACGTCTAGCGACTGCCATATGTTGCAACATCCTGTTAGCACTGCAGCAGCCAGATGGTGTCCGTCCATCTCAGCATGGAGACTGAGTGAAATCACGGAATCAGGAGCGATAACTCCCATACGGTTACGACATCGCGCAATTCCATACGTGCGCTACCTTGCTACAATGGATTGTGTGCTACCCAGTCACGACGGAGGACACCACGGAGAAAAGGCAGAATCTTGTGGGGGGAGTCTTAAAATTAAAGATACGGTATACATGCGATCAGGACTATACCTGCTTCACGCTCAGCTTTCCAAAGCTTCTCCGTCCTTCAACCGGTTCCCCGGCTGGAACATCGACCACGCGTCCCCAAAGCACTTGCCCTTCTGCGCCTTCAAATGCCGCATCAGCGCATCCTTCCTGCTGAACGTCTTCATGCATCCCCCGATCATCGGCACCCCAACGAAGTCCATGATCTACCCCTGCCGCACCACCTCGACGGGCACCCCCTGGTCCAACGCGTCCAACGCGTACACCCCACAGCAAACCCACATCGCCACATGCGCACCAAGCCTATGCGTTTCGATATGGCGCTTGAGGTCGGGGGAGCGACGGTTGTGCTGGACGTAGGGGCAGTGGGGACACGCCCAGCGGTTAGTGCGGGTTGAGGGGGCGCAGTCGGAGAGGGTGCGGGCGCGTTCCTGCGCGTGCACGCGACGAGTTGTGGAGAAGACCCGGGATAAGTCTCGGCGACAGGTGATTTATAAGGCAAGGATGAAGAGGCGGTCAGAGGTGTGGGGCCGGCCCTGCAGGTGCGTCGTGTGTTTCCGGACGTCGCGGCAAGGGGACGTTCGGGGGCGGCAGAAGTGGTGGTGTAGCTGTCACTCCCAGGAGGATAGATGAGTTCAGGAGCGATGCAGGGTACCGTTGTCGAGTCATAAGCTTACCCGAGTGGGGAAGTGAATACGGGAGATGGGGCTTGGTGACCGTGGAATGGCGGAGATGGGACGGGGATGGCAAAGGAAGGAGCATGTGCGCTCGTCGATGCGACCTCGGCGGCCAAGCTGCATCTTGCATCAGCGACCGAGCGACTTGCAACGTAAACGTGGACAACACTCACAAAGCAGCGTACAGTTCCTCCTCTGCGCCAGAGGACGCTACAATATCGCCGTGCAACCCGTCGAACCATTGCGGTGAATATGAGGGGTCTCCGAGGCCACTGGATGTATAGTGCGGCGACGGGTACGGCTGCTCGTAAACCTCATATGGGTCCTCGTTGTAGATAGGAGGGTGGGCGATCATCGCGAAAGCGGGACTGCAGTACGCGGGGGCATCCATTTTGCAGGGGGGAAGATGCGATGAAGGGGGACGGGGCTTTCGATGGGGATCGTTCCGTCCATGTCTGCGCGAGCTTCTATCCTCGACATCCTAGTGGAGACTCCAGATCTTTGGTGCGTACAATGTGTTGGGAAGCAGGGTGCCTTGACCGTTGTCGGAGACCAGATGGACGACGTCGCGAGCACGAAGCTGGGTATGGACCAAACACGTCAAGGGTGACCGGTGACCCCTTGAGATCTCGCTTACACCCACGTGGCCGCTCTTCACCCTGCCAAAACCACGGCGGCTTTTCGAGCAAATCGCGACCGTCGAATGTTGCGACTTCGGGGCACGATATGGCTTTTTAGGTTGCCACTACTGAAGTAGCGTCATCACAACATATGTCTTCAAGCATTCCTTGCAGTGTCTCTCCTCACTTCTCCACCGCGTGATGGGATTGCAGAGGGACGTGGTGGACTGAAGCTGCAGGCCGTCAATAATATCTTATCTTCGGGCTTCTCATTCGATCCGCGAGCTTCATCTGTCACTTGAGGTAGACCTTAACCATCAATTCATGTGTTTTTCCTATAGCTAGGATACAATCTTCCGAAAGATACGGTTTCGGGGATGAGGGAGCTCCTGTCACATTTCCTACATAGTCATCTAGTCAAGTCGCATGATACGTCGTAGCTGGCCAGGCGCTGGTCCCAGAAGGGAGCAGAGGCACTAATGACGATCAACGTCAGCAAGGATGCACTCGCCACTCGTATTTATGCACGACGAACCTTAGGCGATTCGGGAGGGGGCTTCAAGATGCACTACCAGCTCGTCTCCCGTCCAACTCCACCGAACTCCGCGAAAATACAGCTCGGGCGGAGTCCCCCGACCAACCGGATACAAATCCACCATACACAACTGACCGTCCCGCTGCAGTTCACGATGTCCACGCGCAATCAACGCAGCGTTGAGCATGTCGTGATCACCCAGCTGGAGGGGCGCGTACAACGCTTCGTGTATCGCCCGTAGGATGTCTCTCACTCGCAGTGACCGACCAGACGTCTCATGGACAGCCCTCCTGAAGACGAAGCCCGCTGGCGTGGTGAAGCGCAGCGTGATCGACCTCACAACCGCTTGCACGAACGCCGGGTCACGAGCAAAGTCTTGGAAACGTCCGGGTGGAGTCTCCTCTGCTCGCACGTCCCACCTGAGCGAGAACAGCTGGAGCTCTTGATGAATTGCAGGTGGAGCGAGTGCGGTTACGGGGCCACCGGAGACAAGCTGTCTGTGCACGCCTTGTAGCGTGCCACTGTACATGGTTCCGTCAGTCCTGCGTCTTTTATAACATAGGAAAAGGACGAGAACACACAGGAGCGACATACCGATCAGGCGACCCCATCCAGTTATTGGAGGTGGAGATAGAGACAGCTGGTATGACGGGCATGTAGCCTTGGGTGACTAAAGTGAGCGGTGCGTGCACGACTGCGGGAACCATGTACGAGTATCCATGTTGGCCGACGTGGCTGAAAGGGAGAGGGAGCATTCTGTACACGACATACATCAGTCTCCACAGTACTGTGTAGGTCATGAGAGACGTACCTGTTGCCCGACGACGTCTGGGCAAGAGCTGAGAGTGGGGGCCTTCGCGACGTAATCGGGGTAGTCTCATACACCTGATGCTCATCTGCCCAACGGACGCCCTTGGCAGGCTGCTGCCAGTTGCGGTTCATGTCGTGTAAGGTTGGGAAGCGAGTGGTAGTACGATGAGACGAAAGACATCCCATCTAGTGCTGCAAGCAGACCTTTATACTCTGTAGACATCATAAGGCACCGTCCGTCATCCTGTCGACTTGACCAAAAAAGCATGCTCGGAGGTGTGGCAGGTATAAGCTGACGCACGAATTTTCGGTCCTGCAGCAGATCCCGCCCACTGCAACAAACGACCACGCTGTGCGCGCACTGCCGGAAGCTTCAGATCTTTCCAGGCAGCTTAAGGTCTATCTTCCAAGCGAGCGCTGGGCGAGAAAGGCATCTTACCACGGATCCGCATGTCAAATGAAGTGGTTGACATGGGCAACCACAAGCACAGTTGTCGCAGAAGCAGCGCAGCAGTGCAGAGTACATGTCCCGGCGTGAACATGAGTTGGTCCAGATGGAGATTTCTCACAGCGCTAGCCAGGGAAGAAAGCAAGGGGCGCCAAAGAATGGTTAACGAGCGAATTGGCGACCTGTTGGTGATGAAAAAGCTGCGGAGCGCGAGGGTCCAGACTATCAGACTCCGAGAAATAGGAACTTAGTGCTGGCGGGGCGACGCCCGAGGAATGGGCTTGCGAGGACACACACAGACCAGGTCTGAGACTCGACAGGGAGGGAAGACCCTCCAAGGCAATGTCCGGTCGAGATAATATCGTGTGGTGTCGATACGCAGTTGCGGGGAACACACCGCCGACGGCACTGCCTAACCAAAATCAGCACATGCAAGAGTCTCTAGGGCCGAAAGCAGAGAAAGAACCGGTGCACGTACCAGATACCTGGGTTGGACGCACTATATCCCTTCTTCGAGCTATGGCCCCATTCGTTCTCGTCCACAGCACCGTGCGCCGACCATCGACGCCTGAAGATACGTACCTGCGCGCTTGGCTGATATCAGGCGTCGTCCACAATCGACAGATTCGATCAAATAACCTAATTTTGCCCTGGTTGGAAGGAACTCTAAACGGTACTCGGGAAGAAGATTCTCGCGATGACTACTAGGGGTCACCTCCTCGTCGTTGTCCTCCCAAACCGGATCTGTGTCATGAACAGTCGCGTCTTGCTCGATCATGGCACTACTGCAGCATCACAAACTGAGCAAATCCCGCTGAGAAGACACCCTCTAAGGCAGACGGAAGTTGGAGCCCTCCTTGTTCCTGGGGTAAGTCGTACCTGTATGCTTCCGGCGAAGCGGCAGTGCAGCCATGATGCAAGCGTTCAGATGGTCGATTTCACAGTATAGAGCTCGGAAGCCGAACGCCTGCGCGTTACAGCCCCTGCTCAATTCGCATACTCCTCGGCATCCGAGTCAAGGCACATCATCTGTGTTACAGCACGACGTAGTCATCGCCAGACCAGCAGGCTTGTGTCCCACGTCTGACCTGTTAGTACCATGCTTATAAGGGACGAGCTTAGAAAGTACCTGAAGGCAACGCACAAGTGGCCATAACGTTGACTGAGTTACAAGATAGACTAGTTGAGCATGAGATGGGACGCGTGAGGACCGTCAAGAGCTCCGCGCAAGGTCAGGACGCGAACATCGATCATCCACGTAGGACGGTGGCGGTTTATGTTCCCACGATGCGAACATGCACGCGTCGTCCAAGGGAAACGTAGGCAGCAGGTGCATGCGTCAATTGAGAGTATGCTCACAAGCAAGTTTTAAGGGGGCTTCAAATACGAGATACGAGCACAGAGTATGTATGCTACTAACACAACTAAAGATTCAGATTCTGCCCCGTCCCTCAACGCCTCAGCCTAAGATGAGTCCTTCCCCAAGCGGTTCCCTGGCTGGTACATCGACCACGCGTCCCCAAAGCACTTGCCCTTCTGCGCCTTCAAATGCCGAATTAGCGCATCCTTCCTGCTGAACGTCTTCCTGCATCCACCAATCATAGGCACTCCATCAAAGTCCATAATCTGACCCTGCCGCACCACCTCGACCGGCACCCCCTGGTCCAACGCATCCAACGCATATACCCCGCAGCACACCCACATTGCCACATCTGCACCATGCGTATGTGTTTCGATATGACGCTTGAGGTCGGGGGAGCGACGGTTGTGCTGGACGTAGGGGCAGTGGGGGCACGCCCAGCGGTTGGTGCGGATTGGAGGGGAAGACGAGGGCGCATTCGGAGAGGGTGCAGGCGCATTCCTGCGCGTGCATGCAACGAGCTGCGAAGGCGTTCCGGGGATGGGCTCGTAGACATGTGATGGTGATGGACAGGCCGAGGACGATGAGTGCGAGGAGGACCGCGCCGCAGTCTGAGCAGCGCGACGTGCACCGCGGACTGGTTGGGAGCTTTTCGACGTTGTCCGAGGTACGCACTCGTTGGGAAGGGGCACACCATCGTACTCGGGTCCAGTGGGATAGACAAGGTTGGGAGAGACGCAGGGCTCGGGCGTCGAGGGAACAGCTTGCTTGAGGGGGATTGGAGGCAAGCTGTGGTCCCTGGACTCCACACAAGCGGGAGACTGCCAACTCGCGAAATGGTCTCCCCAGGGCAGCTCGCATTGCGCCTGCGTGTCGTAGAGTAGAGCGTTTTGTGCGTCATTGGGCGGCAGCGATGGCACTGGGATTGGAACAGATGATGCAGTTGTACTCGCATATGTAATCTCCGTAGTGACGCTGCGTGTCAAGTAAGCCCTAGGACGGCTTGCCATGTATGCGGGTGCTACTCACAAAGCACTGGATAGCTGCTCCGAGTACATGAACGCATACCCGTCGATAGCGTCGGTCCACTGCGAAGAACAAGCAGGGTGGTCATAGCCCCTGAGTGCATACTCAGGAGCAAGTGACGGCGGATCGTAAGCCTCATACGCATGTGTCGGAGAGTAGGTATCAGACGCGAAGTGAGGGGCGGAACAAGCTGGAGCATTCATCTTGCTGGGAGGAGGGGGCGACTGAGTGGGGCGGGGAGTTCGATGGAGGTCGTTCCATCCATGTCTGCACGAGCTTTTATCCTGGACATCCTAGTGCAGTCTCCAGATCTTCGGTGCGCGCAATGTGTTCGGGAGCAGGGTGCCTTGGCCGTTGTCGAAGGCCAGGTGGACGACGTCGCGAGCACAAAGCTGGGTATGGACCAAACACAAATCCACACGATTGGGCAACTCAACGGCTCATCGTCCCACGACCGCCTGAGATCTCGCTTAGTCTCGCGTGGCTGCTCTTCACGTCGCACTCGCCCCTCGCTCCTGTCGCACTCGACGTTCAAACGTTCGCGTCCTATGGCCCCAGCGCACGCGCTGATATTTCATCAATTCATACTACTATCAGGCTACATGCTGTCCCATGTTCTCCAGAATCCGGATATCCGTCTTGTAAGCGCATGCAATACTGAAGATTGGCTCCTGAATTCCACCGATGTTCAGGTTGCGGCAAACTCAGCAAGGTTCGTGCGTCGCTCAGCACAGTGCGATGCGGTGACTGATCGACGTTCTCCTGCATCCTTATGATGATGATTCGTTGCGCGATGATCTGGATCCACTCACAGGCGTTGTTGATCTCCCGGATCGCCTTCTGTTGTCGAGCTGGAGCGTGCGTAAACATCATGCCTACAACTCGTCCAGTGGGCCTCTTCGTATCTGAGATTCTCTGTACAGCAATATCATAAATCTACGCAGGAAGTTCATCAAGAGGAGAAGAGTCTAGGCGTTGGGTAGGAAGTGACGTCAGGAGGTCTGCCCGTGTCGACTCTGATAGATGCCCGCTCCCGTTTGTCTGCAGAATCAAACCTCGGTCATCTCACGTCGCAGAACTGTTGCCCGGGTAACAAGGATAGTGCGATGCTACGGTCACAGTCCTTTCCTGGACAGCGTACGCACTTAGGGCGAGGCTGAGTATGTTCGAACTGGAAGGACGTCGGTGGGCTACATTGATAATCCCTCCGAGCGCTGTTGATAACCTTTCTGAAGCAATAGTGATCGTCTGAGAGGTTGACATTTCTGATGATCCTCCGGACCGTGATTCGAAATGAACCAAGACAAACTCCAGGTAGATACACGGTCCAAACGACACTTTGCTCAGACTGAGGAGCCATGGGAATAGAAGTATTCCTCCGTCTCACACTATTCAGGCTGTCTCTTGCGGGTGAACGACGAGCTTCACACCACTAACTTGGTTAGCCTTCAGCCGCTCCAAACCACCAACGACCCCGTTCAGTCCGCCAGAGAGGACTTCAACCCTGTTGGGCTACAACGCAGCATAAGTATCAACATCACAGTCCCGGACAATGTACATCAGCGCAAGGTACTCTCACCTTGATGTCGCCGGTTTCAAGCAACTTCGGAAGGCTCGAGAGCAGCGGCCCAGACACCTCTCGGTTGATTGGTTGCATAAACAGACCCTGCGCAAAGTGCACGTTCTTCCCTTGCTTTCTAGCCTCTTCAGCCGTCTCCGCAGGGGAAAGGACGACAACGAGGTGGCCGCCGGGGGCAGTGGCAGCCAGGGAGAGATGGAGGGTGTCCGCGACGGAAACAGCGTCATAGACAACGTCAAACGGCCCGCTCGCAATCTTGGCGAACTCGGCCTGGAGCTCTCCGGCTGCGAGTTTGCGATCCACGACTTGTGTCGCTCCCAGAGTTTTGAGGAACGCGGAATGGTGGACGGAGGCGGTTGCCACGATGGGGGAGAAACCAGACAGGCGAGCAAACTGAATAGCTGGGCAGAGAAAAGGTCGGTATTCCGTATTCGTGTACTTCTGATATGGCATGAGGGTACGAACCGAACTGTCCCATGGATGTGGCCCCACCGACGACGAGGAACGATTTCCCCGCGTATTTCCCCCTTCCGCCCTCCTTCCAAGGAGGGAAGAGCTTGACCGAGTCTGCTCCTTCGACATGATTGTACAGCGGCAAGGCGGCCGTCGCGACACCGCTCGAAACAGTGGCTGCTTCGTCGAAAGACAAGTTGTCCGGAAACTAACTACGTATCTCAGCAGTGTTCAAGCCTCGCTATGAATTGCACAGCTGACCTTTGCAACGAACTCGTGGGGGAGGGTGAGGTACTGGGCATATGTACCACGCATCGTCTGCTTCTCCATGTCAATATCGCCTTGGAAAGTGCTGGTCAATCAAAATGAGTGTTCAAATAGGTTGTCTCAAGCTCGTGAACATGCTTGGTCGACTCACACGCGGTCCCCGACGGCGAATGCCTCCGATGAGACCTTCTCACCGACCGCGATCACGATGCCGGACCCATCGGTTCCTAGGACTGCAGGGTACGCATTGATGAGCGCGCCATATGTCTGTATTTTCCAGTCCGCCGGATTGAGCGCTGTGGCCTCGATCTTCACCAGCAGGTCACCGGGACCGGGGCGCGGGACGTCCGTCGTTTGCACGGCAAACTTCCCGAATTTGGCTTCGAGAACTAGAGCTTTCTGCTGCGCTGGGATTGACATGGCTGGCGTGAGAGGACGGGAGGGTGTGTAGATTGTCGATGGAGCACGATCTCGTTACAATGCCCGTTATATAGTTTGGCAATCCACGACGTGGTCGAGATACATCTCGGAGAGCGGCGAACCTGACTAAGGCAGATGACCTGTTCGTGGCAGGTAGTAAGTACAGCCTAACACATCAAATTACCGTAGAGTGGACGACTTTCAATCACGGCAGGGATTCGGATATTTCCAGCTGGAGAAAAGTCTCTTATGAGGGGACGCGCAAGGCAAACAATCCGTAAATATGTGGCGTTTCTGGATAAAAGTCATTGAAAAACGACGGGCTGTTGCCTTTTGCGTCCCCATTTCATCGACTTTTCTCCAATCGAAAATATCCCATTCCCTGCCGTCTAAGGATTTACGGCTCTACGGACCGTCTAGGCGGGGTTTGAAACAGTCTCTGGATCTTGGGCGCTCACAGAGCGACAGATTCTGCCCATCATCAGCACGTGATTGGAATGACTTATGTCATGTCTGCATTTGGCATACAGTTTGATGGTCCCTTCCATTCTCGTGGTCAGGTCTACGGACTGTGGCTCGTTAGAGATTTAGAAACGAGGTTCGCACCCCCTTCCTAGATTTTGACGTCCGTATCCTAGATTTCATCAGCGGAGTTCCGATCTGGTGTCAGCAACACTGCCCTTTGCCTAAATCGATCTGTTTAAAGATCTACGGACGTCCGTAGAGCCGTAGATAGCTTACAGCGCCTTGCAAAACGATAGCGCATGCCCGTTCAGACATTTGTACGCCACAATTCTCAGAGGCGGGTCCTTGACGGTGCAATCTTGTTCATCTCTACAATGCATGCCAAAGTATGGTTGCAAAATCTCAAAGTTGTAATGAGATTGCGCGCTTCTCATCACCAGTTTTGCATGACATCGATAGAGGTTGAAGTCTGTCGAGGAAGAGAGTGGCAGGGCAGCAGCGGCCCGTAGCGACTGAGCGCTTGATTACCTTACTGTGAAGCGGAGCTGGGAAATTCCTGGGCGTGTTTTCCGGCAAGGCGCTGTCGTTTTGCAAGGTGCTGTATGGAAAGTCGTCCAGTCTTCTCCTGGGCGCAGGAGAGTGCTTGTCGAGTGCACGTCCATTGGTGCTTCCTCGGGTGGTATAGCAACATCGACCCACGAAAGCGCTGAGCCCCACAGGGGCTCCGAAGCGTTGAATAAGCTTCTTGGCTCTTGGCTCTCGGCTCTCAGCCCGTTATGGTCAGCATGGATGAAATGGGAAAGGGAGTGACGCGGGAGTCATCAGCAAATGTGCAAAACGGTTGATTACGGTTGGCTCGATTGGCCATGGCACTCAAAACTGGCGTGGAATACTTATACTAAGCCCCATTCGATGGGGAATCAAATAGCATTTGCAGGAACGGAGGACAGTACGTCACCGTGAGTTCTTTACCATCAAGACCATGTGTGTGAAGCCATTTCTTCACACGATGAACGTCAGTCCATCATCTGGACATACGGCGATGCTGGTACCCCACGATGCCCCGCGAACTAGAGGAAAAATACACATCCGGATCTTCATTCGAAAAGACTCGATGGATGTATGTCGAGTATGATGCATTAAGGCGTCTCAGCGATTATACATGAGCTCGTAAGTATGACAGGGTATCATTCATCTATGGTGCTGTACTGCTGCATCAAGGCCAGGACGATTACCGTCTCAAGCGATGTCCGACAATGTCCGTTCAGCACACCAGAGCGGGTATGTGATGGGTTGTTGATATAATGATGTTGTGTGGTATCAATGATCACAATAAAAAGAAAATAGTAGCGTGACTTTTGGCGCATGCTCCTGACGAACTGGCACGTTAGTCAAGGATCAAACACGTGCAGAACGACTCACCTCTTGCATCGCGCAACATTGTGAGGCCCCCCAACCCTGCCAGTTCCTTCAAGATCCCTCAAGCACAGCAGCAGATCACTCTCAGGAAATATCTCCAGAACGGTCGCTTCGAGAACGAGCGCTCCTCCGGCCAATCGTCGATACTGGAGTACCTGTTTCCCCCAGTTCTGTCGTGCACACACTCGTGGGATTAACACGGCAAGTAACGCCGACATACGGGGGCTGACGTACTCGACGTAATCGGCCGGCTATTACGTCTAGTATTGGCTCCAGGGACGACGTAGCTGGAGGGCGTGTACAGGTTTCCACGCGCTCTGCGAGGCATAGTTAGACCAGTCGCAGTACATCATGGCTAAGAGATCTTACCCAGCTACACCCTCGATGCCGTTGTTAGTGACGTAGTAGCTGGTCGTGGCAGCGACTGACTTGGCCTCGGCGTGCCTAGCACCGGCGCCGCTGTACGGGTTTCGAGCAGCACTAAGCCAGAACACAAGTCAGCACAAACTATCGCCAATCCCAGTCAATGCTGGGTTGAAAAGGACAACATACTCAATCGCGCCCGGAAGCCGCACACTATCGGGTGGCAGAGGAGCTGCATGTTGCCCGCTGTGGCACAGGGCTACGTCAGTAACACTGCTGCGCACTCGATAAGACAGCCAAGGAGTCTGTGTTCTACGAGAGCTCGACACGAACCTGGCCTTCGACGTGCGGTATAGCATCTTGGTGAGGTTTCCCCATGGTCCGAGGGTAGTAGTTAGGACCCGCTGAAGACGGTCGGAGCTCATGATCACCTCGCAGAGCGGGTTGGAGTGATGTTTGGAGGGCTTGGTACATGTTTCTGCTGGCAGACGTGTAACTCTGGTACTAATTTCGACTCATTGAGATGTTGTATTGGTGACATAGCGCTTCGTGCACGTACTAGCGCTTGTCTGATGGAGGTCGTTGTGGGGAAAGTACAGGGCATTCGCCTGCGTATATATGCAACTAGTGTTTGCCTTTGTGGGCGTACATGGAACAAACAAAAGCCGACCTTGACCATAGACTATGAGGAGCAGTGGGACGAAACGAGCGAGGAACCCACCATCGCCTCGTTGGCCTACGAGAAGGACCGGCTTGGAGTCAATAGTCATGCACTCCGGGCCTTGCGACGCCCAAAGGGAGCCAATCATGGCCCGATTGTTTGAGGACGACGACATTGGAAGAACTGAGGAAAGCAGAGTGCGAGTGGGTCGGGTACAAGAGCAATGCAAGTAGAGGAGGCGGCTATTTGTATGGAGAAGACATACAGTGGGTGGTAGCAGGTGGTAGTGCGGACCACGGATCGGATATGAGATCATCGACAATCGTCGGACATCTGTAGACGCCCATGACGAGGGCGTCACTAGCTCGCCTGCTGACCATCTGCGCTTGTCGACAACTTTACTCTGACTCCAGTGGAATGGCTGCGTACGGCCCACGAAATATATTACGCATGAGATCTCTGAGAGCTCCGAGGGCATGAGACCCCTTCGGCTGCATTGATACAATGGACTGTGCCTTATTTGTAGTTACTTGACTGTAGTGACCTCCTATTGTTGTGAGTAGTCCTGCCAATTACCGCGACACGGTACTTCAAAGGCCACATTGACCGCGGTGCGCATTGGGCGACGCTTCCTGAAATCTCTTGCTCTGGCTTGCCGTGGATTGTTCGTCTACACCTTGAGGTCGTACTTTCGTTCAGCGACCGTCAGATGCTGCAGCATCCTGCTAGCACGGCAGCGACCAGGTAGCATCCGTCCATCTCGACCGATATAGGGTGGCATCACGGAACCATGAGCGACGACACTCATGCGGTTACGAGATCGTGAAATTGCAGACTTGCGTTACCTTGATAACATGACTTGTGTGCTGTCCAGTCACGACGGCACAGGAAACCACAGAGATATCGCAGAATTTACGGGAGGGAGCCTTGAAATGAGGGTACGCTACACATACGATTATGCAATCTCTACTTCAGGCTCAGCTCTCCAAGCCTTCTCCATCCTTCAACCGGTTCCCCGGCTGGTACATCGACCACGCGTCCCCAAAGCACTTGCCCTTCTGCGCCTTCAAATGCCGAATCAGCGCATCCTTCCTGCTGAATGTCTTCATGCATCCACCAATCATAGGCACTCCATCAAAGTCCATGATCTGACCCTGCCGCACCACCTCGACCGGCACCCCCTGGTCCAACGCATCCAACGCATATACCCCGCAGCACACCCACATTGCCACATCTGCACCATGCGTATGTGTTTCGATATGGCGCTTGAGGTCGGGAGACCGGCGATTGTGTTGCACGTAGGGGCAGTGGGGACACGCCCAGCGGTTGGTGCGGATGAGTGAGGAGGATGAGTGTGCATTCGGAGAGGGTACCTGCGCGTTCCTGCGCGTGGACGCGACGAGACGCGGAGAAGTCCCAGGATGAGGCTCGGCGACAGGCGATGGGGAGGCCGAAGACGATGAGTGCGAGGAGGACCGCGAGGCCTGATGTGCACCGCGAGTGCTCTGGGAGATATTCGACGTTGTCTGAGGTACGCATTCGTTGGGGAGGGGGACACCATCATCTTCGGCGTGTCCAGTGGGATAGACAAGGTCGGGAGAGATGCAGGGCGCGGACCTCGAGGGAAGTGCTTGCCTGAGTGAGATCGGAGGCGAGCTGTGGCCCATGGACTCCACACAAGCGGGAAACTGCCAATCCGCGAATCGGGTCCCCCAAAGCAACTCAGAATGTGCTTGCGTGACGTAGAGTAGAGCGGTTTGTCCGTCATTGGACGGCAGCGATGGCATGGGGATTGGGACGGATGACACAGCTGTGTTCGCAGATGTAACCTCCGTGGTGAAGCTGCGTGTCAAGTGAGCACTAGCACAATTTTCGAACTACGCGGGTAATACGCACAAAGCACTGGGTAACTGCTCGTGTGTCTCCGAGTATGTGAACGCATACCCGTCGGTACCGTCGGTCCACTGCGAAGAACAAGCAGGGTGGTCATAGCCGCCGAGTGCATACTCAGAAGCATGTGACGGCGAATCGTACGCCTCGTACGCGTGTGTAGGGGAGTAGGTATCGGACGCGAAGTGGGGGGCAGAACAAGCTGGAGCATTCATCTTGCCGGGAGGAGAAGGCGACTGAGTGGGGCGGGGAGTTCGATGGAGGTCGTTCCGTCCATGTCTGCACAAGCTTTTATCCTGGACAACCTAGTGGGGTCTCCAGATCTCCGGTGCGCGCAATGTGTTCGGGAGTAGGGTGCCTTGGCCGTTGTCGAAGCCCAGGTGGACGACGTCGCGAGCACAAAGCTGGGTATGGACCAAACACAAATCCACACGATTGGGCAACTCAACGGCTCATCGTCCCACAACCGCCTGAGATCTCGCTTAGTCTCGCGTGGCTGCTCTTCACGTCGCACTCGCCCCTCGCTCCTGTCGCACTCGACGTTCGAACGTTTGTATCTACGGTATGGCCCCAGCGCACGCGTTGATACTTTGTCAACTCTTGCTGATGTTGCCCTACATGTTTTCTCGTCTTGCAGAATCCTGATATTCGTCTGCCTTGTAAACGCATGCAACACTGAAGACTGGCGAATACCACCGACGTCCTCGCGGCTAGTTCAAGGTTCGTGCGTCGCGATGCGGTGAGTAATCGACTTTTCTTCTTGCATCCTGAGGATGATGATTCGCTGCGCGATGATTTTGGTCCACTCACATGCGCCATCGATCTCTCGGAGCCCGTTCTGCTGTCGAGCCTGCATGTACGCGATTATTCTGCACGATGGCCACAAGGCGTCCAACGGGCACCTACGATGGCTCCAATTGAAGCTCAATTTTGTGTTCCTGTTAGAGCTTTCACTGAATGGTCACTTCGACATTGCCGGAACGTGCGTCGTCGTCTCAAGCTCTTGGGCATCAGCTGTCAGCTCCGTGACGTTCCAATATGCCCATGGCATCTAGTACAGTAAGAGTTCTCTCGTAATCTCTATATATGTGTATCACGTCAAATAGCGGAATCCTCTGTCCTTTACACCCTTCCGCCTGTCGTCCTCAGCAAGCTTCCGATTCAAGCGTTCGAGATACAGCTTGAAAACGTAGCACATTACAATCATGCAGCCTGCCGTCGCTATGCAGATCCCGTATGACTTGCGATAGGTCGGCCCCCATGCGCTTGGCCACACGTATCTGCAGGAGCGTATGCTGAGGACAAAAATCCGGATAGCAAGAGAGGAGACGCACGATCCAGCCACATCTCCAAATTCCGAGAAGGCGTTGATGAACGCTAGCGCTACAGCACGCTTCGACGGCGGCCGGGGGAATGAGTTGCTGATCCAGGTGAAGACAACGACGTAGCCAGCGTATGACTGCGCCATGAGGAATCTGCACCAAAGCCCATCATCAGCGTCACTGTCTCCGAGTGAGTAAGTTCTTACAACGAGACATATCGTGCAGGGGTGCTCATCGTGCATACAGCGATGACAAAGCCCACGATCCCGATGAGAAACGGTATCGTAGTATGGTAGAACCTCTCGCCAGTCACATCCGAATGCCTAGTCCGGCTCATGTCAGTCCCAGACCGTTACCAGAGAAGGACCAACGTACCTCGAAACGAGATACGTTACGATTGCCGCGAACACAAACGGCGGCGCGCACAGCAACAAAGTAACGGTGGGATTAAAACCCATCGTGGCACTCAGCGTGGGGAAGTACGCATTGAAGCTCAATGCGACGGTGATGCTCGTCATCGCCAGCGCCATCCACCATACCTTCCAGTCCCTCAGGGCCAGCCGCAGCCCGACGGAATGCCCGCCCTCCTCGGTATCGCCTTCATCTCCTACGCCTGCGTCCTCCTGCATGCGTCTCATCGCTAGGCGGCGCTCCTCCTCGCTCAGCCAGTGCGTAGTAGATGGGAAGTCAGGAAGGATGAACATGGCGCAGAGGGCCACGAAAATGGTGAGCGAGCCCTCGATATAGAAGAGCCATCGCCAGGCGGCCTGTCCGAGCTTGCCGTCCATGCCGTCGAGTATGCCTGAAGCCATGAGCGCGCCGAATGCGTTCGAGATGATGTTGCCGCAATACAGCAGGGCGATGCGCGTGCCGAGCTCACTGCGCTTGTACCATTTACTGAGGAGGAATAGGGCACCAGGAAAGAACGCCGCTTCGATGAAGCCTAGGAAAAAGCGAGTGAGGAGTGCACTGACGAAGCTACAGGGTAGAGAGGTGAGGAACTTGAAGATAGGATTGTGAGAATGCATGTGGATTTCTACTTTTTGGTGATTCCTTTGATATCACGTCAGCTTGGGGTGGTGGCGGGGGGAAAGGACGGACCTGTAAGAATGGAGATAGTGCCCCAGATCACCATGCACGTGGGTAGGTATATGGATGGCTTGCCGAGATGGTTGAGAAACATATTCCTGCAAGCATAGCACATTCAATCTACGAAACATACTGTGGAACAGACGACTCACGAGGGCACTTGCATGATCATGTAACCAACATAGAGTATGGACAAGAGGGTCGCGAACTCTTGGCCTTCCAAACCCAAATCCGTCTCCAGTCCCCGTAGTCGTGCCGCGCTGTGTATGTCGAAACATTGAGCTTCAAGTGTAAGTTTCCTTTACAGGATCCTACCCGATGTTGTTACGATCCATCTGGGCATTGCACAGTCAGCAATACCGAAGCCGTGGGGCTGCGAGGAAACGTACATAGTTCAGAATATAAATGACTATCAAAATAGACATGCGTAAGTCGATTTTGCGTAGGAGCTTGTGCTCTAGCCTCTGCCGTGCTTCGCGCCCACCAAATTCGGCGTCTTTGTCTTCTGCGTTGGTCAGCTCATCATATGCATCGGACCCTTCGATGACATCAGCCAAGGATGCCGCCTTCGAGGATGCCATCCTGTGCCTCTCCGATGGATGATTGGGACCCGCGACACAACTGACGCGTCGTGATAGAGGCAAGACAGATAGGAGAGCCTGGCGGCCATCCTTTATATGAGATTGGGTCGAACCTTACGGTCACTGTGATCACAAGGTCAAGGCAAAGAAGTAACCTGCAGGCGCCAAGATATGCTTATACGCGTCTATGGCGGGGACGTTATCACTGACGGTATCGGGACGAATGTCAAAGTCTCGGACAACGACTGGGATCAACTGAACTCAGACGATGTAGCACTCCCCGGAAGATATGGAACACTTGGAAGAGGCCGATGAATAGCTAACGCTCATGAGATCTAGACTGACGATGGTATTAGCCACGTAGATGCTGTGGTACAATGTGACATACCTGCTCAAAGTAGATAGTGAAGCCGTTTTCTTTGGCACCCTTCTCAGCTTCCTTTCCCTGCTCAGGTACGCGAGGTGCAGATTGAAGACGTAGCACATGAGAATCGCACAGCCCGCAGTCGTATATCGCACTGCGCTCGCCGTGCTCGGGCGCTGCCCCGCCGTCGCCCCGGATACATACACTGCTCGCACATGAAGGAAGTGGAAGCAGAGTTGATACATATTGACGTCTAACAAGTTCAATAGGTCACACAAATGAAGGATTGTACGAACGAGAGCTGAAAATTTGAATTAAGGGTACGGTACACATGCCATTTTACGATCTTTACTTCATGCTCAGCTCTCCAAGCCTTCTCCCTCCTTCAGCCGGTTCCCCGGCTGGTACATCGACCCCGCGTCCCCAAAGCACTTGCCCTTCTGCGCCCTCAAATGACGGATCAGCGCATCCTTCCTGCTGAACGTCTTCATGCATCCCCCGATCATCGGTACCCCATCAAAGTCCATGATCTGCCCCTGCCGCACCACCTCCACGGGCACCCCTTGGTTCAACGCGTCCAACGCATATACACCACAGCACACCCACATCGCCACATCTGCACCAAGCGTATGTGTTTCGATATGGCGCTTGAGGTCGGGTGAGCGGCGGTTGTGCTGGACGTAAGAGCAGTGGGGGCACGCCCAGCGGTTGGTGCGTATTGGAGCAGAGGATGAGGGTGCATTCGGTGAGGGTACAGGTGCGTTCCTGCGCGTAGACGCAACGAGACGCGGAGAGCTCTCAGGATAAGACTCGGCCACAGGCAATGGAGAGACCGAGGATGATGAGTGCGAGGGGGACCGCGACGCAGCCCGTGCTCCGCGGCGTGCACTGCGATTGGGTTGGGAGGCGTTCGACGTTTTGAAAGGCAAGCACTCGTCGGCGAGGGAGACACCACCGCACTCGTCACGTCCAGTGGGATAGACAAGGTCGGGGGAGATGCAGGGCGCGGGCGTCGAGGGAAGTGCTTGCCTGAGCGGAATTGGAGGCCGGTTGTGGCCCGTAGACTCCACACCAGCGGGAAACTGCCAATCCGCGAGATGGTCTCCCCAAAGCAACTCAGACTGTGCTTGCGTGTCGTAGAGAAGAGGGGTTTGTCCGTCACGCAACAGCGATGGCACGGGGATTGGGAGGGATGACACAGCTGTACTCGCGTATGTAGTCTCCGTAGTCCAGCTGCATGTAAAGTGAGCACTACGACAATCTTAGAAGTACGCGTGTAATACTTACAAAGCACTGGATAACTGCTCGTGTGTCTCCGAGTATGTGAACGCATACCCGTCGATAGCGTCGGTCCACTGCGAAGAACAAGCAGGGTGGTCATAGCCCCTGAGTGCATACTCAGGAGCAAGTGACGGCGGATCGTAAGCCTCATACGCGTGTGTAGGAAAGTAGGTATCGGACGCGAAGTGGGAGGCGGAACAAGCTGGAGCGTTCATCTTGCTGGGAGGAGGGGGCGACTGAGGGGGGCAGGGGGTTCGATGGAGGTCGTTCCGTCCATGCCTGCCCAAGCTTTTATCACAGACATGCTAGTGAGGTCTCCAGATCTTCGGTGCGCGCAATGTGTTCGGGAGCAGGGTGCCTTGGCCGTTGTCGAAGACCAGGTGGACGACGTCGCGAGCAGAATGCTGGGTATGGACCAAACACAAATCCACACGGTTGGGCAACTCAACGGCTCATCGTCCCACGACCGCCTGAGATCTCGCTTAGTCTCGCGTGGCAGCTCTTCACCTCATCAAGTGTACGGCGTCTTGTCCGGGAGAAAACGCAGTCACGTCGCAAGTTGCGAGTTCGGCACACGAGAGGAGGCACTACATACATCATGATCAACGTCAGCAAAGTTGCACTCGTAACTCGTAATTTTCACGTACATGCTCCTTCGAGGCTTCAGGTAAGTGGATCGGAAGCTATTGAGACGACATCAAAACCTCTACACTGGCACGTCGGGCGCGAACTTGAATGCGGCCGGTCCTCTCTCTTCTACCTCCCAGCTAGTACATCGATATCTGCATAATCATACATCCCGCTTCCAGGCGATCCAGGTCATGCAAAGGGGTTGCGCGCCTTTTGTTGGCGTCGTCCGAAGCTTGAACACGCCAAGCCAAATGCAGGGAGTGGCGGTCGGCTGAGACATAATGCGCAACAACTGATCAGATTGACGGCCCTGACGTGGATAACCTGGCTACCAGCAGTATGTACTACATCTCCTAGCCCCATTGTCATTGTGACGTTCGCCTTCTCATTCATCACCCCCACCATTCTCGCTTCACAGGCTCACCGTGGGCCTATGGCCGATAGGAAGGGACAACATAGCATTGCCCTTCATGCAGCCTTCTCCCGCGCACTTCTCGATACCAAGGCCGTGGCCGCTCCATAGATCATGCTCCGCGCCCATGGCACACCGAACCACAGTGAGGCACCACTGACGGTCGCGCCCTGAGATATGTTAGAAAAGCTCCAAGTCGAGGCCATCATATATTGAAAACGGCTTACAATGACAATATCTCCCGCCATTTTACCACGTTCTTCAGCATCCCTCTGCCTTACCTCTGCCAGGAACTCTGCCGCCCATCTCTCCGTCTGCCCTTGCTCTTCGGCGGTCCTGGTATCCTGCCGTCCCATGAGCTGTCCAAGCAACACTGCGGCACGTGTCCGTCGTTTGCTCAAGTCCCGGAGGACGGCGACATGGGATTCTGTATCTGTTCGCACGATGAGCAGTCGACCGCGGGGCATTGAGGAGGCTTTCATACTGACCCCGGCACAAGAACAACCGCTGATGCTCTTCGATGGCTGTCTCCATGTCTGATAACCCGCCGATGTAGCGCTTCACTTCCTCTGTTTTCCGAGACGCCTCGCCCTGCCCTTGCACGACTTTCGATCGCTTGACATCTAGCAGACCTTCCTGCATGCGTGTCGGAAAGACGTGGGCAGGATGTGCGACGCAGTGAATTGCACAGAACCGCTGGCCCGAGACGCACTTCCACGTGCAAGGCTTCCCATCTCTTCGCCTGAGCGCCGTGCACCGCTGAGGGGCATTGCGAGGGCCAGGCCTGTCGTCGCTATTATTTTTCGTGCAAGCGTACGGCGGGTGCGGGGCGTCGAGGATCGGATAGGCTGGAGGTGCGTCCGAGGCCTGGCTCAGAGCATCCTCGTGTGGACGCCCAAGTTGCGCAAGCTCGAGTTCTCGCGCCCTCTCCTCCAACCCCTCCAAAAAGGTGACCATGTTTCCTTTCTTCTCCTGCAGCAAATTCTCACTCTCATTCTTGTCTGCAACCGCTCAGGGAGTGTCAGAACAGATTATCTCCAACGCCTAAGTACTAGGAGCAAATAATTCACCTTCAGGGGGGAACTTTGTCCTCAGCGCTACCGCAGCATTTATTTGCTCATCAAGAGACTCCATATACAACCGTACGACCCGCGCGTCCCTCCTGATTTCTCTGATGCCAGTGTATCCTGTCGTCCCTTCTGCGACCATGTCTTCTGCAATAGGTTTCAGTCGCTCGACCTCGCGCGCAGCCATCCTGATCCGCTCCTCAAGGACATGATGCTCCGCGGCATGTTCGCTGCAGAAGGGAAAAGACGGGACGGCCCTGTTCGTGCAGCGAGGTGATGAGTCGGGAACGGCGCTGCAGAGCCGCATACTTTCGCTTTCGGAGGATAGTACTTGGTCCAAGCTGAGGACGATGAAGACGGCGTGAACAGAACACCCGGTGTACGCAAGGCGTCTTCGAGCTCTGGTGCTGCGGTAGACAACGTGCCGAGGCCACGAACTTCTTCGGCCCGCCCGCGCAGAGGAATCCCTATGGCCCATACTCAACGTACTCAACGCTTGCCGCAAGCGCAAATGCGATCACGTACGCGTACGTGGACATTTCAAGACAAATACATGGCGAGAGTGTGCATACAACCCGTTCATCAGTCTTCCAGCCTATTCCCAGGCTGGTACGCCGCGTTCGAATCCCCAAAGCACCTGCCCTTCTCATTGCGCAAATGGCGCGTGAGCGCATCGCGCCGGCTGAACGTCTTCCTGCAGCCTCCAATCATCAGCACGCCCTCGAAGTCGAAGATCGGCGCCGCGCGTACGACCTCAGCGGGCACGCCGGCCTCCAGCGCGTCTTCGATCGGCACCCCGCAGCACACCCAGGCCGCGACGGCCGCCCCGCGCGTGTGCGTTTGGATGTGGCGCTTGAGATCGGGAGTGCGGCGGTTGCGCTGGACGTACTCGCAGTATGGGCACTGCCAAGGATTGGTGGGGGTAAACGAGGAGGGAGGGATCGCGGCGAGCGCAGAAGCAGGCACGTTGCGGCGCCGAGAAGCGATTAACTGGGATGATGTTTGGGGGTACGGCCTGGGGGAAGGCGAGGGTTTGGAGGTATAGGAGACCGCGGTGTGATCTGCGCGCGAGGATGAGCGGGTGCACCGAGCGCAATGGGACACTGCGCGACTCGAGTGTTCGTCTATCGCTGGTGCGAGGTCGTACTCAGGGTGCATGGGCGGTTGAACCAGGAGTGGTGCGACGCATAGTGCGGTCGCTATCGAGCCGGTGTTTTTGAACGGGGAGGGTGCGATCGCCTGATGGGGCATAAATGAACCATACGCGCTAGTCTGAGTACTAGAGGTAGGGATATATCCATGCGGAACTGGATGCGTGGTGACGCTATGAAAGGAGTTTCCCATGTGACCGTTGGGCTTATCCACGGAGAACGGCGTAGTGAGCGATGAGGGTGACGGCGCAAGACCAGAGTCGTTCGTGCCGGGATATGGGAACTGGCTACCGATGCTACATTCGTGAGGTTAGCTCAACGTCAGGACTACGTAGAAAGCCAACACTACTCACGAGGCTTCGTACAGCTCTCCGGCTGTATACGGCGATGGTCCAACATACCCCGAGTCTCCATTGGGAAGGTCCCACATCGGAAAGGCAAGCTCATCGACACGGTCAGGAGTATGACCCATGAGGGCGTCATACGAGGTGCCGTCATCATAGAAGGTACCGGAGGGGTTATGATATGTAGAGCCCGTGAAGCAGTCCAGAGAAGGTAAAGAGGGATGCATGACGGGGGAAGGGGGTCACAGCGGAAGAAGCGGGGGGTTCGAGGGGTGTCGTTCTGTCCATGGCTGCCCGAGCTTTTATCCTAGACAGAGTACAAGGCTCTCCAGATCGTCGGGTGGGGCAATGTGTTCGGGAAGAGGTACATTGACCATCGTCGGAGACCAGGTGCACGACGTCGTGAGCGCAAGGCGGGTTGGACCAAACAGCTTTCCACACGAATGGGCAATCTGACGGCTCATCTTCCCACGACCCCCTCAGATCTCGCGTAACATTGCACAACCCCGTCACCCGGCGACACCCGCTGTACTGCTGATTTTGTCCGATACGTGTGCGGTTCGCGCTGTCAGTTTGACCGTTGTAACTCTGCTTTGCACCCCTCGGGCACCGTGTCCAGCGTAGTCGTGTCGTACCTCAGTGAGCAAATATCGACTCTCTGATCACGTTAGACAACCCGACCTATTCTCCTCGCACATAAGGTAAGATCTGACGTCCACCATCGACACTTGTTTTATGCCGCCACGGTAAGTATACATACATGCGCCCTCTTTGCGGAAGGGCGCTGAAACTATGCCGGACCCGGGATCGGATATCGCCTACTGTATCATGAAGATGAGATGCGGCTCCATCGTTTGGTATGCATCTGATCCATCTCCTCGGGCGACGCTTCATTCTTAACACGCCTGGCGGTCTGATATTGGGTCTCCCCTCTGCTGCTGTCCAGTTCTTCACCTGGCGACTTATCGGCAAACCTCCAGTCTTTTCACTATGGCGAGACCTCCACCTGTACAGAACATTCTGCGACACAGCCAAACAACACTTCCCGCACTCTAGTTATGCCTGGTACCATCGGGGAATGCAGTGTGGTGAGTCAGGAGTGGCGTAGGATCTTAAGCCACCCCTGCCTATACGCGCGTTCAGTCATCCCATGGTCTTGTATGTCCCGTGCCCTATGCGTCCCTGTTCACGCGCGTGGCTCTCCCCTTATGCTGCCTTCTGCTAACCGGGCGACGTCTGTTGGTCTCACGTCGGCATGAGAATACAGGAATACAGGTCCTTTTCCATTCTTGGCCAGTAATGATGGCCTGACGCCTGGAACGACGACTATCCACGACCGCATTTGGGCAATTGAACAAGTCAACCACCGGCTAGCTCTTCTTTTATTCATCAAGTCACTCATGTTGAAGCCTGCTCTTCTCCATCCGCGACGTAACATGCCATGGCAGGGTGCTTCCCGTTCTGTGATTGTACGAACCACCTCCCAGTCTATCCTCCAGTCCATACCTATCGTCACCGGGGCAGGTGGCCGCCTCCTCAGCCACGGCCGGTTCTCCAGCACGCCACGTACCCGTATGTCCCATTATACCAATCTACTCCTGCTCAGGCGCAGCCCATCCTTGCTGAAGAGTCGCGACGCACGAAAGAGCGGAGCCAATCACGGGACTCGAAGACGCGTCGCGTTCACTTCGCCGATCAACCCATCGTCATCGATCTGCCAAACCACCCGCCACGAAACGCTCCGGCCGTAGATGCAACCACTCGGCCTCGTCCGCGCTCCCCCAGCATAACTCGCGCGCCATCACCCATCCGACCAGCCGTTAATCGAGCAACCCCTCCAGTACGCTCTCCCGCTCGTGCCCCTGCTGCGCATGCGACCCCTGCACCACCACTCAGAACTTCTGCACCTGCCGCTTTCACTCCCGCCACTGCCGCCCGGCACTGTGACCAGCGCTCCGCCACCACTCCACGAATCCTTCACGACTTGCTCACGTCGTTCCCTTCCGGCCTCTGGGACATGAGACGCAACGCGAGACCGACGTACCATCCCCAACACGAGCCACGCTACTCCGAGCCCGTATACCCGCACGACCGCCGTAAGACGTCGATCAAGCTCTACTTCACCCCGTGTAGCCGCACCGAGTTCTCGTGGATCACGAAGGTCCGCGCAGGTTCCAGGAAGCATCTGACTGTGGACGACGTCTTGGATGCGATTAGCACCGAACTATTCAGGCGGTCGGCGGTGAGGGACTTGTACGAAAGTCACCCGTGTTTCTCGAAGATCCGCAGCGCGCGTCGAATCCGGACGCGACGCGGTTACACGAAGACGCCACATTACGACGACGCGTTCCGGAATGTGGACTTGTACCATGTCGACCACGGGCAGGTCCTCTACTTCCGGGGGCTCAAGCCGGAGAGATTGCGTGATGGGGAAGTGGTGTATCTGGTGAAGTTCAGCTACGCATGACGCGCATACTGAGGGTGAGTGAAGAGAAGGGCATATGCTATGCGCGCTCTTCGAGAACAAGTCTACTGATGCACGGATATTAGGTCCGGTATGTCCGCCTGTCCTGTTCTTGTTTCTTAGAGGCTGCGGATCGGCCCCGTGGATCGATACGATCTACGCATGCTTTGTGCCTGTCGATGCCTCGAGGTGGCCTCGAGAGTGTTTAAGATGCCTATGCTCATCATTTCCATCCGCTTGCCCCCGTTCCCTCCAAATCATCGATTCCCCCGCGTCGGGGCTCCCGGTGCTGAGCAAGGGTTCTACTCTACTTGTGGCCATATCTCCACTCTAGCCCCTGCTCTCAGCACTGTGGGACACGTCAGTGAACTCATTTCGCCTTCTTTTCTCTTTCACTGTAATTCCCCGTTCTTGATCGGGGCGCCCGTGCAATTGAGGATGCGCGGGCGTACCCGTGTCTTTCGGGGACCACGTCTTCGTCGGCGACTGTAGCGGCGCTTGGCAGACGTTGACTCCATTCGATTCCTTCGTCGAAGAATTGATCCTGTACGTTGCTTATGACGCTCACGACCCCAATGAAGCATATTTGACCTGCATGTTCCATCGAGCAACTGATACTGTTCCGCATTATCGATATCGATCGTCCTGGTACGACATTGAGTGGCACCCTAGTCTCTTTTCGACTGCCCCACGCCCGTTTTCCCGTTCACTCTTGGCAGGTGCGTTCAGGGAGGCACTAGAAGCAGGAGATAGGCCGGTCGGCGATGTGCGGCCAGCTCTGGCTCCTCGCTCGCGTTTCCCAAGTCCTCGATATATCCTGCAAGGGCTGCGCGTGGATGAGCGATAGGCCATGCCTGCTTCTCCATCTTGCGCCCCCCAACGGGACCCCTGTTGCCTTTGTAAGTAGTCCGGCCGAACATCCCGGAGACGTGCTTCCATAACGGGAGAGTGAGACGCGGAACGATGACGCTGACGCAAGCCGAACGGCTTCTTGGACAGAAGGTGCCACCCGCTGAACTCTCACAAAGGTACGACCACTTGCCTACTCGAGCAGACACCTGAAGTCCATGTTCCGGATCTGCGCGCAGTCTGACCCAAAATCTATAAAAATGCGCTGGGTAGAGGAGCACGAGATTAGTCCTTTGACCACTATCTCCTCGATAGCTCCTCACGCAATATCCCTACCGTCTGTGTAGTCTCATAATCAGCTTTTTCGACTTACAAGACGCAGTCCTCTGGCTACTATAACCTGGGATATATGGGTTGGGCGCCGGGACACGCGCCATACCCTCAGCAGTGGGCGGGTGGGTCTAACCCTCCCCCACCGCCCAGACACCCCATCTACATCCCTCTGCCGCCCGTCTCCCCGTATCGTCCCAATCAAGACCTCGGCAATACTCTGCGTTACTACCCACCTGGCGCGCCGCTCAATCCTTTGGTCGAAACCCGACCAAGGGCTCCAGTTCCTGGGCCGCGCCAAAACATACCAAGGGTGCCGCACCATCAGCCGCGAACACCCAGTCCCGATGTCGACCACCGACCGTTGCCACGCCCTCTTCCATCTTCCGTCCGGGTAGCCAGGGGGCTCGCAGCGGACACACGCCCCACCCTAAATACCATCCTCGCAGCCCCAGAACCGCCGTTTGGCATGTTGGGGCTCGACTGGGACCTCGCAGACCATCCCATCCGCAACCTCAGCCGAGAGGAGAACCGGTGGGTTGATGTGCGGGAGTTGAATGGGGCGGCCGTGTGCGCGAACACGCGCGAAGGCTCTCGCCCGCTCGAGCGACTCGTCCTCATGTTCGCAGGGCTGCCCGTGGAGATCGAGGTCACACATACGCACCCTGCGAGCGGTCGCGGCGGCCGCGCTGACTGGGACGTGCCGTACGTCACAGTGCGAGACGTCTTCCACGCCATATTTGACTGGGTCAAAGCTCCGATAGAGGAAGGAGAGATGGCGATGCTAGACGAGCCACTCTTCGCCAGAGTTGTTGAGGCGGCTGAGATGAGGCGGAGGTGGAGGCCGTTGGGCTGGGATGACAGCACGGGTGCGCATTTCCTCAGGATTGACTATCTCGGAGCAAGGCGGCACTTCCGGGGCATCCGTCCTGCAAGACGGGAAGAAAGGAAGAGATCCATGCGAGACGAAGAGTTGATGAGGTGTTTGTTGTCGAGCTCGGCCAGAGCGAGTGAGAGCGCCACAGTCGCGGTGTCCAGTGAGATACCCTCGCGCTACGTATCCTATATCCTTATTCCACCCCAAATTCCTCCCAGTGTAAGATTAGTACATTGTCGTCCTATCCTCGCTACCGTGCTTTGCCTGTCCTGATCGATGATCGTTCGCTCTGAATGTACTCCACTCTACTATGCTGTTATCGCTACTGTATTTTATCGTGTTGTCGTTGTACGCTATTCATGCTCTCGAGGTTGTTTGTCGCTACAATATACGCGTGAGAGGCACACGTGGATATTGATGCATTGACCAGTACCAGAGCGAGTATGTTGGCCGAGCAGTAAATGAAGAAATGGCGAGCTGAGAACGAACATGTCATAACCACACTCCTAGAGGAGTGTGTCACGCGAGTTCGTGTATGGACGTGTTGTAATTCTGCTGGAATCTAGATATGCGGCTGCTTTTGCTGTGTATACCTGGAGAGGAATCATCACAACGGGATGTCACTGGCGGCTCGCATGAAGGCGAACATGCCATGGATAACATTTGCATATGCATCGATTTGAAGGTTAGTGGCTCGAAACGTTGGTCATGTCCCCTGTTGCAGCTACGTAGCCTTGTATGAAACCGTGATCTACGGCGGGAGAAACACAATGAGTCGTCGTTGCAGACGAGAAAGCCTCAGTAAGCGACACACCCCACTCCCAGACATGCTTGCTCGCAATCCGGCTCTCGAGTTGTTCCTTGCGGTGATTCATCCATGGGCCTTTGAATCCGACTTCTTCCAGAAACAAGCTTCCCAACTCAGCCCATTGACGGGCGAAGAGGTAGGCGTCGTCCCAGCCCGCCGAGAAGCCTTCCTCAAGTCTCCAGTGCTCGTAATCCCCAGGATACTGCGACCAATACGCCTTATGTTGTTCTAGTTTCGAAGCCCATGAGTGTCCACAGCTGACACTAGCATGAGGAAATGCCTCGTACCTGAAGCGCTGGTTTGTGCCGCTTGCTTCCTCGCATCTCTCTCGGAGTCCTCTCCCGCGGGCGTGCCCTTTATACTTCGGAAGCCAGTGGGGAAGACTCCCGCCTCGACCGCGTCCCGGAGTGACCACCCGGTGTCCCTGCTCTCCTTCTTGTACGTCCAGAAGAACCAGCCTGCGCAATGCTGGTCAAACAGCTGCAGCTGCGCCTCGACGTACGCCCTCTTCGCCTGCACCTCGTCGCCCGCGCCGTGCAGCGAAGCAGGGTTGAGCGCGGCGGACCACTCCCCAACGACGAGCGCCGCACACGACTCCCGGAGCTTGCCAGAGGTGCGGGAGAACAACGACGCGGTGCCGTCGTTCGGGTCGCGGAGACGGCGCGCGTGCTCCGCCGCGGGGGTGCTGATGTCGTCGTGTGTGAAGCAGCGGTAGAGGTGGTGATCGAGCACGGTGAACTCGGTCCCGGACGACTTAATGAAGTCGGCGTACTGGTCGGTCATCCAGGAGTCGCTGATGTAGACGGGGAGGTAGGGGTTGACTTTGCGGACGGCGCGGATCGCGTCGAGGTACCACTTCTTGAGAGCCTGGTTGTGGGACCCGGGTTGGGGCTCGTTGAGGAGCTCGATGCCGATGAGGTTTGGGAGTTGATTCTCTCGACCGTATGCGGTGATATGCTTAGTGAATGTTGCGAGTATGTCGATGGTGTGAGACATTAGTTTTGCGGACGAGAAGAACTTGGGTTCGAGAGACGTCCCGGAGTGGGAGTCCGCATTTTGCTTGCCCGGCGCAGCATGAAGGTCTAGTCCGTGTCGCGCTGGTCAGTAAACTGGTATGTATGACAGAAGTGCATAGCCTTACCGAAGAGTACGCCTATCTTATGCTTATAGGCCGTTGAAAGAGCATTGGTTATCCTGCTCCATGCGCCCGCGAATATATCATCGAGACCGGCGAAGTCAGTGGAGTGAAGTACAGAAGGGTCGGCTCCGCATATGTGGTAGTACCCGATCTATGGGGAATCATGATTGTCAGCTGAAGGGAACATATCGACACGCCCGGGTACCAATAGCGTAGGACGCGCGTCCCCCGGAACTCCTGATACGCACCGGGATGCGAACAGTATTGATACCTGTGGCGGAAAGCCAGTTCCAATCGTCCTCGGTGATCCAGGTATCCCAGTGTCGCTCGAGGATCCCCTTCGCATTCTCCCCTTTCGCGACATCAAGGTCGCTCTGCGCCGGTGCTGCCGCCGCCTTGAACGGTGTCTCTGTGATCCACCGCTCAAGGACGAACCAAGAGCCTGACAGTCCATGAAAAGGTTTAGATATTAGAGTCTGAGAGTGGACGCGAATTGCTCACCGAGGTTGACGCCTCTCTGTTTGCGATAGCAGTACAGGTCGCCCTCGCTAGGGAATTCCTCGTGTATGCGTGCCGCATTGTCCGGCACCGTAGCTGTGGGGTGGGTCCCGAATGTGTCTCGGACGCGACGCTTCGCACCGCTGTAGATATTCTTCATGCTGTTTTCCCGGATGACAGTACAAAGGCAGCCTGGCTGCCTCTCGTCACTCCGCAGTGCGGGGAGTCTACGCCACAGCTCGACACGTGCAGACCTCGTGACGTCACTTCCTACTCGACGCCCGAGCTTCTCCTCTTGACGAATGTCCTGCGCAGATGAATCATGGTATTGTTGTACAGAAAATCAAAGATACGAAGAGGGGACAACCCATGTTCCCGAACGGTTAAGAGTTTTCATGAAGTCGCCATGAGTTGCGTGATTCGTGCATATGCCGACTCGTAGTGAGTTAGAGTTGCTGCAGATCGGACAATAAAAACACAAAATAGAGCTTCACTTGGCGCCATAGTAGGTGCCTGTAGGACGCCTGTTGGCCGTCGTACAGCAGATTTGGGTGCACGCAAGGTCGACAGCAGGAGGGGCTTCGAGAGATCGACGACGCTCGTGAGTCGATCTAGATCATCGCGCAACGAATATCATCCTCTCAGGATGCAGGAAAACGTCGATTAGTCACCACATCGCACTGTACTGAGCGACGCACGAACCTTGAGCTGGCGGCGACGACATCGGCAGCATAGCCAGTCTTCAGAAAAGGTATTACATGGGCTTACAAGGCAGACGGATATCAGGCTTCTGCAAGGATATGGGAAAGCATGTTGCCTGGCAGCAGTATGGATTGATGAAGTATCAGCGCGTGCGCTGCGGCCGTAGTACATAATTACGATGCAAACGTTCGAACGGTCGAGTGCGACGTGAAGAGGAGGCACGCGAGACTAAGCGAGATCTCAGGCGGTCGTGGGACGATGAGCCGTTGAGTTGCCCAATCGTGTGGATTTGTGTTTGGTCCATACCCAGCTTTGTGCTCGCGACGTCGTCCACCTGGCCTTCGACAACGGCCAAGGCACCCTGCTCCCGAACACATTGCGCGCACCGAAGATCTGGAGTCTCCATTAGAATGTCGAGGATAAAAGCTCGGGCAGACATGGACGGAACGACCTCCATCGAACCCCCCGCCCCACTCAGTCCCTCCCTCCTCCCAGCAAGATGAATGCTCCAGCTTGTTCCGCCCCCCACTTCGCGTCCGATACCTACTCCCCTACACACGCGTACGAGGCGTACGATCCGCCGTCACATGCCTCTGAGTATGCACTCAGCGGCTATGACCATCCTGCCTATTCTCCGCAGTGGACCGACGCTACCGACAGGTGTGCGTTCATGTACTCTGAGCAGGTATCCAGTGCTTTGTGAGTACTACCTGCGTACATTTCAAGCAATCCTAGTGCTTACTTGACACGCAGCTTGAATACGGAGATTACATACGCGAGTGCAGCTATGTCATCCGTTCCAATCCCCATGCCATCGCTACCGCCCAGCCACGGACAAATCCCTGTACTCTGCGACATGCAAGCACAGTCTGAGTTGCTTTGGGGAGACGATCTCGGGGATTGGCAGTTTCCCGCGTATGTGGAGTCCATGGGCCACAACGAGTCCCCTCCGATCCCCCTCAGGCAAGCACTTCCCTCGACGCCACCGCTCTGCGTCTCTCCCGACCTTGTTTTTCCCGCTGGACGCGACGAGTGCGATGGTGTCCCCTTCCCCAACGAGTGCGTACCTCAGACAACGTCGAAAAGCTCCCAACCCACTCGCGGTGCACGTCGCGCAGCTCGGACTGCGTCGCGGTCCTCTTCGCACTCATCATCCTTGGCCTCCCCATCGCCTGTGGCCGAGTCTTATCCTGGAACTTCTCCGCGTCTCGTCGCGTCCACGCGCAGGAACACGCCCGTATCCTCTCCGAATGCATCCTCATCCTCCGCACCCATCCGCACCAACCGCTGGGCGTGTCCCCATTGCCCCTACGTCCAGCACAACCGTCGCTCTCCCGACCTCAAGCGCCATATCGAAACGCATACGCTTGGTGTGGATGTTGCGATGTGGGTGTGCTGTGGGGTATACGCGTTGGACGCGTTGGATCAGGGCGTTTCCGTGGAGGTCGTGCGGCAAGGGCACATCATGGACTTTGATGGGGTACCGATGATTGGGGGATGCATGAAGACGTTCAGCAGGAAGGATGCACTGATCCGGCATTTGAAGGCGCAGAAGGGCAAGTGCTTTGGGGACGCGTGGTCGATGTACCAGCCAGGGAACCGCTTGAAGAAGGACTAGTCTGAAGCTGAGGCGTTGAGGGACGGGGCGGCATCTGACTCTGTAGTTGCATTTGTAACATACCTTGTGCTCGTATCTCGTATTTCTCCTGACTTTTGCTGAGGATCTCCTGGAAGCGGGACATGCGATATTGCAGGAATCGACTTACCAGCCGGGCAGTAGGCAGACCGGACAGAGGAATCAAGGCGATGGGTCGTGTTCGCGCTCGCAGCGCAGAGTCTTCGATTTCGTCTCAATAACTCCTTATCCACCCACCTGCAGCCTCAAAGTAGTATACAGGCGAATTTGGGACGCCTAGTAGCTGTTCGCGTGCGCGGACCGGATAAGCGTCCACCCTCGTGCTATTCATTGTTGGTATGTTCGCTACCGCAGCATCTCAAAGTTCGATGCCTTATCTACCCCCAGAGGCATCAACTCGACGCTATTCCCCTTGGTACCTCCCTCCTCAGCCTACGATTCAAACATGCATTCAAATCACAAGCAGATCCCACCGTTGAACCGTTGCATCGCAATTTCCGCCCAGGCATTCCACTGCTCAAACAAGGCCCCTCACCCCCAGCCCTACTGCACCGAGCATGCCGATGAGTGTCGCGCACTCGAGAAGCGACTGACAGAGATCACGAAGCAGACGTGGCGACGGAGAGATGTTGTACGGGACCTCATCGCGGAAGAATGGGAGAGGGACGAGTTTGTCGACGATCGCTATGCTGGCGATGAGCAAGACGTTCGGTCGTATCTAGAGTCAATCGACGACCAGATTGGCGTTATGGTAGCACTCAAGACGAGGTTCTTCTCGAGAAGTCAGTCTCTTCACCGCATTATACTCAGGTCACTGATAACTCACTTCGAAACCCTCCTTCATGTTTGCAGACGAAGGGACCGTGAGCATGGACGTACTAAAGGAGTGGAAGTGGCGCGCCGTCGTTGTCTTGAGCGATCTAGGGCGACCCATGGCCGCGGAAGGAGAATGGGACTATCATGACGACTATCATGAGTATGTTCTCCCGCATGACCCGGAAGAGCCCCCAGGGTACCTGACCCTCCACAGTTCGCGTGATTTCGATGCTTACACAATGTATACGAGCGACGATAGCAGTGCTTCGTCTGAAGGTACCCATCCGATGGAGGATCCTGCCACTGTAAGCCCTCGGACACATTCAGATCGCAGCGGGGCTGCTAAAATTGCTGATGCTCTGCTAGGGCACGGTCGCACGTAATGAGGGATGGATTGCGGGTATAATCCGTGCCGTGATCAAGGCCTTGATGTAGGCGAGCTCACGCACCGGTCGAAACCGGATGAGTGACAGCGAAGCGGGGATTCAGTGTATGGCGATATTTCCTACAATGCGACTCTCATTAACGGCTTGCCAAAGTCGTGGCGAGGGCCACTCACATAGGCTGACGATGATAGTCTTAATCTGTGGTCTTGTCGGTGAAATACATGACATCGATTGATTCGTTCTGAAGCACGAGAAATCTCTGCAATGTAACCATGCAGTCGTTGAGCCAGATTCATACCCCCTCTCATGAGAATCTGCGGTATCTCTCTAGTTTCCTGTGTCGTCGTGACTGGATAGCACACAAGCCAGTTTAGCAAGGTAACGCACATGTGGAGTTTGACGACGTCGTAATCCCACGGTAGTGATCGCTCATGGTTCCTTGATCTCGAGCGCCATCGACCACCAACACATTAACGCATGCGTTGACTTCATGAAGACTTACTCCAGGACCCGGTCGTGCTGTTAGTCGGGACGGACGTCCGGACACTACCTGATTGCTGCAGTGATGGCCAGTGACAGGATGTTGTAGTATTTGACGGTCGCTGGCCGAAAGTAGGACATCAAGGTCTAGATGAATAATTCACGTCAATCTAGAGCAAGACGATCCAAGAAGTGCCGCCCAATGGGCACCGCTGTCAACGCCTGTGAAGCACGGTCGCAGTGGTCTTGGCAGCTGATGTATAGAGGAAGGACACTCACCCACAACCGTAGGTGCATCTCCGACACTGCCAGGTCACTACAGTCACAGTCTCTTGGATCCATGGAGCCGAAGCGGTCTCATTCCTCGACATCTGAGAGATCTCATATGTGATATGTTTCATGGACCGAGATCATTTACGGCAAGCGCAGGTATCCAGGTCGTGACGCCCTCGTCATGAGCGTCTACAGATACAGTGCTCCTGGACGACGATCGTCGATGTTATCATATCCGATCGCTGGCTCGCGCGAACACCTTCCACCAACCATTGCGTTATAAATTCACCTCCTCTACTTGCATTGCCCTCGTACCCGACCCACTAGCACTCTGCTTTCCTCAGGTCTCAAACGAAGCTAGAACGTCGTCTCCCTCAAACCATCTGGGACCGATTGGGTCCCTTGAGCGTCGCAAGCCTAGGAGTGCAGTCTACTCGACATTCTCTCCACCGACGCTGATCGAGTGACGCGTCAGATGTGCACTTGTCGTCAATTTGTGGAGCATCATGCGGCATCAGCATGGCCGTATGTCCGAATGTTAAGCTCAGACGGTGGGCTGACGTTCATCGTGTGAAGAGATGACCCCACCCACGGTCTTGATGGTACAGAAGGAACTGACGGTAACGTTCTGTCCTCACTTACTCATAGTCACAACGCATACCCTACTCCGAGTCGAAGGTGTTCGTTCCTCGTCAAAACAGGGCGTATCAACGAGCTTCCAAATCCGGGTATTGAATAGCTCCGAATCCGAGAAGCTTGGAGCCTGTATATCTCTCTCGCATTCTCATTCATCTGCGTCGCTCCCTTCCCCATCTCATGTATGCTGACGATTTCGGGCCGAGAGCCAAGAGACCAGAACCTTATACGGCATTCAACGCTTCGGAGCCGTTGTGGGGCTCGGCGCTTTCGTGGGTCGATGTTGCTTAGTGTACGACCCGAGGAAGCACCAATGGACGTGCACTCGACAAGCACCCTCCTACGCCTGGCCAAACAATCCACGGTGGATTTACGTGCTGGGTCGTACTCTCTACCTGTCACGAGCTCCTGATCTGCCTTAGTCAGGTTCGCCGCTCTCCGAGATGAATCTCGACCACGTCGATCTCGTGGATTGCCAAACTGTTTAAAGGGCATTGTAACGAGATCGTGCACCATCGACAATTCATACACCCTCCCGTCCTCTCACGCCAGCCATGTCAATCCCAGCCCAGCAGAAAGCTCTGGTTCTCGAATCCAAGTTCGGGAAGTTCGCCTTGCAAACGACGGACGTCCCGCGCCCCGGTCCCGGTGACCTGCTGGTGAAGATCGAGGCCGCAGCCCTCAACCCGGCGGACTGGAAGATACAGACATACGGCATACTCGTCAATGAGTACCCTGTAGTCCTAGGTGCCGATGGGTCTGGCATCGTGATCGCGGTTGGCGAGAAGATCTCCCCCGAGGCATTCGCCGTCGGGGATCGCGTGTGAGTCGACCAAACTTGTTCAGGAGACAACCTGTTCGAACTCCCATCTTGATCAATCAGCACCTTCCAAGGCGATATTGACTTAGAGAAGCAGATGCTACGTGGTACTTATAGTCAGTACCTCACCATCCCCCACGAGGCCGTTGCAAAGGTCAGCTATGTCACTCATAACAAGGCCTGAACACTGCTGAGACATGAAGGTAGTTTCCGGACAACTTGTCTTTCGACGAAGCAGCCACTGTTTCGAGCGGTGTTGCGACGGCCGCCTTGCCGCTGTACAACCATGTCGAAGGAGCAGATTCGGTCAAGCTCTTCCCTCCTTGGAAGGAGGGCGGAAGGGGAAAGTACGCAGGAAAGTCGTTCCTTGTCGTCGGGGGGGCCACATCTATGGGACAGTTCGGTTCGTACCCTCATGCCATATCAGACGTACGCGAATACGGAATACCGACCTTTCCTCTGCCCAGCTATTCAGTTTGCTCGCCTGTCTGGTTTCTCCCCCATCGTGGCAACCGCCTCCCGCCACCATACCGCGTTCCTCAAAACTCTGGGAGCGACACACGTCGTGGACCGCAAGCTCTCCACCGGAGAGCTCCAGGCCGAGTTCGCCAAGATCGCGAGCGGGCAGTTTGAAGTGGTGTATGATGCCGTTTCCCTCGCGGACACCTTCCCTCTCTCCCTGGCTGCCACTGCCCCCGGCGGCCACCTCGTGGTCGTCCTTTCTGCCGCGGAGATCGCCGAAGAGGCTGAAAAGCAAGGGAAGAATGTGCACCATGCGCGTGGTTGGTTCGTAGCTCCGATCAACCGAGAGGTGTCTGGGCCGCTGCTCGCGAGCCTTCCGAAGTTGCTTGAGACCGGCGACATCAAGGTGGGAGTACTTGCGCTGATGGACGTGTTTCGGGGCCGTTTTGTTGATGGGAATGCTGTGTTTTAGCCGAACAGAGTCGAGGTCCTCCCTGGCGGACTGAACGGGGTCGTTAGTGGTTTGGAGCGGCTGAAGGCTAACCAAGTTAGTGGGGTGAAGCTCGTCGTTCACCCGCAAGAGACAGCCTGAATAGTGTGAGACGGAGGGATACTTCTATTCCCATGGCTCCTCAGCCTGAGCAAAGTGTCGATTGGACCGTGTATTAACCTGGAGTTTGTCTTGGTTCATTTCGAATCACGGCCCGGATTCGATAGAAATGTCAACATCTCAGACGGTCACTATTGCTTCAGAGGGGTTGTCAACAGCGCTCGAGGGTATTATCAATGTAGCCCACCGACGTCCTTCCCGTTCGATCACACTTAGCCTCGCCCTAAGTGCGTACGCTGTCCAAGAAAGGACTGTGACCATAGCATCGCACTTGGTACCCGGGCAAAAGTTCTGGGACATGAGATGACCGAGATTTGATACTGCAGACAAATGGGAGCGGGCATCTATCAGAGTCGACACAGGCAGACCTCCTGACGTCATTCCTACTCATTGCCCAGATTCTTGTCCTCTTGACGAACGTCCTGCATGGAGTTATGATATCGCTGTACAGAGAATCAAAGATACGAAGAGGCCCGCTGGACGAGTTGTGGCCATCCTGTAGGAGATTTACGCACGCGCAAGCTCGACAACAGAAGGCGCTCCGGGAGATCAACAACGCCTGTGAGTGAATTCAGATCATCGCACAACGAATCATCATCGTTAGGATGCAGGAGAACGTTAAATAGTCACCGCATCGCACTATACTGAGCGACGCACGAACCTTGAGCTGGCCGCAACTACATCGGTGGCATTCAGGAGCCGGTCACCTTCAGTATTGCATGCGCTTACAAGGCAGACGGATATCCCAATTATGCAAGAATATGGGAAAGCATGTAGTCTGACAGTAGGCTGAATGAATGAAGTATCAGCGCGTGCACTGCGGCCGTAGTACGATGCGAACGTTCGAACGTCGAGTGCGACGGTAGCGAGGTGAAGAGCTGCCACGCGAGAATAAGCGAGATCTCAGGGGGTCGTGGGACGATGAGCCGTTGAGTTGCCCAATCGTGTGGATTTGTGTTTGGTCCATACCCAGCTTTGTGCCCTGGCCTTCGACAACGGCCAAGGCACCCTGCTCCCGAACACATTGCGCGCACCGGAGATCTGGAGACCTCACTAACATGTCGAGGATAAAAACTCGCGCAGCCATGGACGGAACGATTCTCATCCAACCCCGCAACCCGCTCAGTCGCCCCCTCCTCCCAGCAAGATGAATGCTCCAGCTTGTTCCGCCTCCCACTTCGCGTCCGATACCTACTCTCCTACACACGCATACGAGGCGTACGATTCACCGTCACTTGCTCCTGAGTATGCACTCGGCGGCTATGACCATCCTGCCTATTCTCCGCAGTGGACCGACGGTACCGACGGGTCTGCGTTCGCATACTCAGAGCAGTTATCTAGTGCTTTGTGAGTACTACCCGCGTACCTCGAAAATAATCCTAGTGCTCACTTGACACGCAGCTGGACTACGGAGACTACATATGCGAGTACAGCTGTGTCATTCGTCCCAATCCCCATGCCATCGCCGCCGCCCGGCGACGGACAAGCCCCTTTACTCTTCCACACGCAAGCGCAATCTGAGTTGCTTTGTGGAGACCATGTTGCAAAGTGGCAGTTTCCCGCTTGTGTGGAATTTATGGGCCACAACTCGCCTCTGATCCCGCACAGGCAAGCTGTTCCCTCGACGCCCGCGCTCTGCGTCTCCCCCGACCTCGTCTATCCCACTGGACGTGACGAGTACGATGGTGTCCCCTTTCCCAACGAGTGCGTACCTCAGACAACATTGAAAAGCTCCCAACCCACTCGCGGTGCACGTCACGCAGCTCGGACTGCGTCGCAGTCCTCCTCGCACTCATCGCCCTCGGCCTCTCCATCGCCTGTCGCTGAGCTTTATGCCTGGACTTCTCCACAACTCGTCGCGTGCACTCGCAGGAACGCGCCCGTACCACCCTCATCCTCCACTCTCATTCGCACCAACCGCTGGGCGTGTCCCCACTGCCCCTACGTCCAGCACAACCGCCGCTCACCCGACCTCAAGCGCCATATCGAAACGCATACGCTTGGTGCAAGTGTTGCGATGTGGGTGTGCTGTGGGGTATACGCGTTGGACGCGCTGGACCAGGGGGTACCGCTCGAGGTCGTGCGGCAGGGGCAGATCATGGACTTTGATGGGGTATCGATGATTGGTGGGTGTAGGAAGACGTTCAGTCGACGGGATGCGCTTCTCCGTCATCTGAGGGCTCAGAAGGGCAAATGCTTTGGGGATGCGTGGTCGATGTACCAGCCGGGGAACCGCTTGGGGAAGGAGTAGTCTGAAGCTGAGGCGTTGAGGGACGGGGCGGAATCTGACTCTGTAGTTGCATTTGTAACATACCCTGTGCTCGTATCTCGTATTTTCGTGGCCCCCTCAAAACTTGCTTGTGAGCACACTCCCGATTGATGCATGCACCTGCTGCCTACGTTTCCCTTGGGCGACGCGCGCATGTTCGCATCGTGGGAACTTAAACCGGCACCGTTCTACGTGGGTGATCGTTCGCTGCGGTTCGCATCCTGACCTTGCTCGGAGCTCCTGACGGTCCTGGCGCGTCCCATTACATGCTCAACTACTCTATCTTGTAATGAAGTCAACGTGGTGGCCACTTGTGTGTGGCCTTCAGCTACTTTCTAAGCTCGTCCCTTACAAGAATGGTATTAACAGGTCAGACGTGGATCCGCTCCCCTGCTGGTCCGGCGATGACTACGTCGTGCTATAACACAGATCATGTGCCTCGACTCGGAGGCCGAGGAGTATGAGTATGCGAATTGAGCAGGGGCTGTAACACTCGGGCACTCGGCTTCCGAGCTCTATGCTGTGAAAACGACCATCTGAACGCTTGCGCACTGCCGCTTCACCAGAAGCATACAGGCGCGACTCACGCCAGGGACGGGCAACTCGATGGCTCCGGTGAGTTCTAACTTTGTCAAATTGAAAGGGAATCTTCTCGGTGGGATTTGCTGAATTTGTTGATCAGTCAAGACGCGACTGTTCATGACACAGATCCGGTTCGGGAAGACCACGACGAGGAGGTGACCCCTGGTAGTCATCTTAAGGATCTTCTTCCCATTTACCGTTTAGAGTTCCTTCCAACCATCCCACAGGGCAAATTGAGTTTATTTGATCGAATCTGTCGATTGTGGACGACGCCTGATATCAGCCAAGCGCGCAGGTACAAATCTTCGGGCGTGGATGGTCGGCGCACGGTGCTGTGGACGAGAACGAACGGAATCATAGCTCAAAGAAGTAACCTAGTGCGTCCGACCCAGCTAACCTGTGCGTGCACCGGTTCCCTCTCTGCTTTCGGCCTTAGAGAATCTCGCATGTGCTGATTTTGGTTAGGCAGTGCCGTCGGCGGTATGTTTCTCAGCTGCGTACCGACACCACACGATATTATCTCGACCTGACATTGCCTTGGAGGGTCTTCCCTCCCTGTCGAGTCTCAAACCTGGTCTGTGGGTGTCCCCGCAAGCCCATTCCTTGGGCGTCGCCCCACCGACACGGGATTCCTATCTCTCGGAATCTGACAGTCTGGACCCTTGCACTCCGCAGCTTTCTCTCCACCGACAGGTCGCAACTTGGCTCGTCAACCGCTTTTGTGGCTCTCCTTGCCTTCTTCCTTTGGCTAGCGCTGTGAGAACTCTCCATCCGGTCCAACTCATCTTCACGCCGGGACATGAACTCTGCACTGCTGCGCTGCTTCTGCGACAATTGTACTTACCCGTGGTTCCCCATGTCAACCACTTCACTTGACATGCGGATCCGTGGTAAGATGCCTTTCTCGCCCAGCGCTCGCTTAGAAGATGGGCCTTAGGCTGCCTGGAAAGATCTGAAGCTTCCGAAAGTGTGGACACAGTGTGGTCGTTTGTTACAGTGGGCGGGATCTGCTGCACTGACCGAACATCTGCGCGTCCGCATAGACCTGCTACCTCTCCTCCGGCGTGCTTCTTTGGTCAAGTCGACAAGACGACCGAAGGTGCCTCACGATGTATTTAGGGTATAAAGGTCTGCTTGCAGCACTGGATGGGATGCTCTCCAGCACATAGTACCACCACCCGCTTCCCGACCTCACACGACATGAACCGCAATTGGCAGCAGCCTACCAAGGGCGTCCGTTGGGCAGACGAAGATCAGGTGTACGAGATCACCCCGAACACATCGCCAAGGCCCGCTCCCTCAGCTCCTGCCCAGACGTCGTGGGGCTACGGGTACGTCTCTCTCTTCAGCTGCACGAGACTTTGGACATGTATGTCGTGTACAGAACGCTGCTTCTTCCTTCCAACCACGTCGCCCAACATGGATACTCGTACATGGTTCCCGCATCCGTGCACGCACCGCTCACTCTAGTCACCCGAGGCTACATGCCCATGATACCGACTATCTCTATCTCTACTTCCAACAACTGGATGGGGTCGCCTGACCGGTATGTCGCTCCCTTGAGTGTTCTCGTTCTCCTTGCCCTTTGTGATGCGTGGCTCACCATACCCCGTTTTGAGGCGCAGGACCGACGGGACTATGTACGGTAGCACGGTCCAAGGCGTGAACAGACCGTTTGTCCCTGGTAGCCCCGTCACCGCACTCGCCCCACCTGCAATCCATCAAGAGCTCCAGCGTTTCTCGCTCAGGTGGGACGTGCGAGCGGAGGAGGCTCCGCCCGGACGGTTCCAGGATTTTGCTCGTGACCCGGCGTTCGTGCAAGCGGTTGTGAGGTCGATCACGCTGCGCTTCACCACGCCAGCAGGCTTCGTCTTCCGGAGGGGTGTCCATGAGACGTCTGGTCGGTCACTGCGAGTGAGAGACATCCTACGGGCGATACACGAGGCATTGTACGCGCCCCTCCAGCTGGGTGATCACGACATGCTCAACGCTGCGTTGACTGCGCGCGGGCATCGTAGACTGCAGCGGGACGGTCAGTTGTGTATGGTGGATTTGTATCCGGTTGGTCGGGGGACTCCGCCCGAGCTGTACTTTCGCGGAGTTCGGTGGAGTTGGACGGGAGAGGAGCTGGTAGTGCATCTTGAGGCCCCCTCCCGAATTGCTTAAGGTTCGTCGTTGACGACTACGAGTTATGAGTGCAATCTTGCTGACGTTCAAGTTGATCGTCATATAGTGCCTCCTGCTCCCTTCTGAGACCAGCTGCGATGTATGATAGGACTTGACTGTATGACCGTGAAAGATATGTGACTAGGATCTGCTCCCTCGTCACCGCATGCACTTTCGGAGGATTTTACCCTAGCTGAGGGACAAATACAAGGGTTTTTGGTCAAAGTCTACGTGAAAGCGACAGATGAAGCTCGCGAATTGCATGGCGAGTCCGAAGACAAGAACAGGATACTAGTATTGATGGGCTCTAGCTCGAGTCCACCGTGACCACGTCGGCATCCCTCTGCAATCCCATGACGAGGTGGCTGAGTGAGACACTGTGCGGTGTGCTTGAAGACGTATTTCGTGATGACGGTACTTCATGATGGCAAGACGATGCTGCAAGTCCAAACGTGTGCCGAACTCGCAACATTCGACGGTTGCGATTTGGTTTCTCCGGCCCGACAAGACGCCGTGGATTTGGTAGGGTGAAGAGCAGCCACGTGAGTGTAAGCGAGATCTCAAGGGGTCGTGGGACGATGAGCCGTTGAGTTGCCCAATCGTGTGGAATTGTGTTTGGTCCATACCCAGCTTTGTGCTCACGACGTCGTCCACCTGGCCTTGGACAACGGCCAAGGCACCCTGCTCCCGGACTCATTGCGCGCACCGAAGATCTGGAGTTTCCACTAGGATGTCGAGGATAAAAGGTGTCGCAGACATGGGCGGAACGACCCCCATCGAACGCCCCGTCCCCCTTCATCGCATCTTCCCCCCTGCAAGATGGATGCTCCCGCGTATTGCAGTCCCGATTTCGCGATGATCGCCTACGCTCCTACCTACAACGAGGACATTCACAAAACTTACGAGCAACAGTACCCGTCGCTGCACTATACATCCAGTGGACTTGGAGACCCTTCATATTCGTCGCAATGGTTCGACGGGTCGGCAGGCAATGTTCTGGCATTCTCTGGCGCAGAGGAGGAACTGTACGCTGCTTTGTGAGTGTTGTCCACGTTTACGTTGCAAGTCGCTCGGTCGCTGATGCAAGATGCAGCTTGGCCGCCGAGGTCGCATCGACGAGCGCACATGCTCCTTCCTTTGCCATCCCCGTCTCATCTCCGCCATTCTACGGTCATCAAGCCCCATCCCCCGTGTTCAATTCCCCACTCGGGCAAGCTGATGACTCGACAACGGTACCCTGCGTCCCTCCTGAACTCATCTATCCTCCTGGGCATGACAGCTACGCCACCACTTCTGCCGTGCCCCAGCCTCCTCTTGCCGCGACGTCCGGAAACACACGACGCACGCGCAGAGCCAGTCCCACAGCTCAGCCCACCTCGTCATCCTCGGCCTGTCCATCGCCTGTGGCCGAGTCTTATCCTGGAACTTCTCCGCGTCTCGTCGCGTCTACGCGCAGGAACGCGCCCGTATCCTCTCCGAATGCATCCTCATCCTCCGCACCCATCCGCACCAACCGCTGGGCGTGTCCCCACTGCCCCTACGTCCAGCACAACCGCCGCTCACCCGACCTCAAGCGCCATATCGAAACACATACGCTTGGTGCAGATGTGGCGATGTGGGTGTGCTGTGGGGTATATGCGTTGGACGCGTTGGACCAGGGGGTTCCCGTGGAGGTGGTGCGGCAGAGCCAAATCGTTGACTTTGGTGGGGTGCCGATGATTGGGGGATGCATGAAGACGTTCAGCAGGAAGGATGCGCTGATTCGGCATTTGAAGGCGCAGAAGGGCAAGTGCATTGGGGACGCGGGGTCGATGTACCAGCCGGGAAACCGGATGAAGGACGGAGAAGGTTTAGAGAGCTGAGCCTGGGGTCGAGATTGTATCATGACATGTATACCGTACCCTCGCGGCGCCCGGTTGGACCAGTCGTTACGGAACACTACCCTCCTTTCCAACTCCGCTGATGTGTTCCGTTCGACTGGTTCGAGTCTAGCTCTGAATCATCTTGATCTCTAGTGATAAACTCGGGGCTGTGAAGACAAGGATTAGATCCGACTAGAGTCGAAGCAAGATCTTCAGTCAGTAAGGAAAGACTATATTGCAGCAACGAACTGTACCTAGAGTCGAAGCAAGACTACAAAGGTTAAGTAAGTAACTACAAGTTAGAGGTAGAGGTAATGAAGTACTCACTCTTCAGTCAGTAAGGAAAGACTGAAGAGGGAGGACGCAATCTGAAGTCCTTATATACTACAGAGAAGAGTCCATGACTAATCGAAGAGTGGTTAGTCACATGTACCATAGTGCGATGAATAATACAACGACGAAAGAATTGCGACGTATCGCACCATAGGATGAGTAAGAGATGAGTAAGGCATAGACCTGTCTAGACCGTTCTGGAGTAGTACGGATTGTCCTAGACAGTACCAGAAGAGTCCGGAAGCATAGCTATAGTACACGAGCAGAGAGTCCCAAATATGGTAACATACTACATAAGCGACTACAGCTAAGCGCTAGGAGACGCATAGCCTCGTGTAGTCCGGACCGGATGAGTCCAAGTTCAACATCTAGCAATCAGTGAGAAGACAATTCATCTTGGAGAGGAACCAGTATATTCGGGAAACGGTAAGATCAAGAGTACAATAGCCACATACGGTGGGTCTGCACCCGATATAAGCAAGGGGACATATGGGGATAACGTGCAGAGGGAATTGTATGAATCCAGAGTACTAGCTCGTCAGAACTCGAATAGGAGACCGACAGCGGTGCCACACCCAGCTCAAGTAATCCTCCCAACGCACCAACGATGTGGTATTCAAGCAGTGCCCGAATAAAGAGAGAGCTTCCAAGTATTTCAGGGATAAGGCGGGGATAACCGACAATGGGAAGGTAGAAGCACGACCAAAACACGTACCACGAAACCATGCATCAACCCGTACACTGGGACCTCCACTCTTCGTAAGCAGGGCTGAAGTAGTGATTCTCTTGTATTACTTCTCTTGAAGTCAGTCCATCGTGGGACCAAGGAGCACGATATAGATCGAAGGCCGCAGAACCAGAAGAGTAAGTACGAGATCGAGCTGACGGCGGTAAGCATATGGAACAGATTTGAAGTGTCCGTGGAGGCAGCATACTGGCGTCAGATTGTCTCCATTTCGTGGAGGGACGGCTAGGCCACGGCTTGGAATGGGACTAGGATGATCGAGAGAAGGGACCAAGGGCAATGTCGACCGCGAGCGAGGTGCCGGTCAGTGTTCCCACGGTGAGAACAAACGTCGGATGTACTCGTGGTCGCGGAAAGTATTCGAACGCCCGAGTTTAGGCGCCCGTTGACCGCTCCTCCTCCTGGTCCTGTAAGTAGTATAAGTAGACATATCTCTACCGTAATTGAGGTATATATTGCTGTTATTGTCAGGAACGTGTGTGCACCATGTGATAGGAATATGATCTCTATCTTGAGCCAAACTAGGCTCAACAAATCTCAGCATGCTCAGTGAGCATGAGCAGAACATTTGCTATTCTTAGGCGCTGGGAATTGATCAGCATACCTCCATATTCTTGCACATATATCTAGCCATAGAGGAGGGTTTATATAATTAGTGGTTGCTAGCTTTTGGCCATCTCTTTCTTGAGAAAATAGTCCTACAATACTAGACTAGGTCTTTCTATAAAGCTAGTAAGACACTTTCTTGCCATTCTTTGGTTCCCCTCATAAATACTGTGCACCCTGTTGTTATAGGTACATGCATAGAGAGGGATACTAATCTGATTGGAACTTAAGTCTCTAGCTTTAGCTATGGCATTGGAGAAATGCACAGCAGAATACAATATCCTTGAATCACACTTACTTTCGACTTATGTTAGTACTAATCTTTCCAAGCAGAGGCATAGATACACCATACTTTCTAATGTTTTAGAATCTCCCTTATGAGCAGACTCATGCGCAAGAATTTGGAGGTACTCTGATCAATTCTCAGTACCCAAGGATAGCAAATGTTCTGCTCATGCTCACTGAGCATGCTGAGATTTGTTGAGCCTAGTTTGGCTCAAGATAGAGATCATATTCCTATCACATGGTGCGCACACGTTCCTGACAATAACAGCAATATATACCTCAATTACGGTAGAGATATGTCTACTTATACTACTTACAGGACCAGGAGGAGGAGCGGTCAACGGGCGCCTAAACTCGGGCGTTCGAATACTTTCCGCGACCACGAGTACATGAAGGAAACGGAAAGCAGAGTTGATGCATACATACCGACGTCTGGCAAGTTCGATCGTTCACGCAAACAAAGGTTTGTATGAACGAGTGGTGAGGATTCAGACTTTTGGCAGGAGACCCCGATTTGGTACCCCGTGAGAGAAAGGACTTAGTGATATCGCACTGTAGCTCGCTGGGAGAATCGCGGCCTGTGGTCTCGGACGTTGTCATCCCCTGTATTTACTACCGTTCGTGTACAAAAGCAATGCTTATATATTCACCAATCTTCCAAGTCCATTGAAGGCTCATCCTCCTCCGCAAAAGCAGCGCGCGGTTCGTATTCATCGGCGTCGTAGTGGCGCCAATAATCGTCGTCTTCTTCGCCCCTCGATTGCGAGCGTGGCATGTCATCCCTATCTGAAGCAAAAGTCGCAATCTGCGCCTGTGATTTTGCCCGAAAATCAGTCATGAATAGGATTCGCGTTGGACACTCACACTGGGGAGCACCACACCAGAGAGGGGGAAGGTGTCAACAGTGGATGGCGAGGAGGCGGGCGAGGTATGGGGACTCGAGGGCGGGCTGACAAGGGGAGTCTCACGACGGCGGCGCTGCAGTTGTTCGAATGTCTTGTTGTACTCGAATAAAGGGCCGGAGAGCTGCTTGAGACCGCTGGCGACAACGTTGGGAACTTCGGTGTTGGACATGTCGCGGAGTACGCGCCCTGGTTCCACTCGGAACACACCATTCCCGCGCATCAAGTCGCAGAGTGACTCGAAGTCCTTTTGAAGATCCGGTGAATGGTGCTTCGTCCCCAGGTTCGCGCCGAGGGTCTCATTCATCTGGAGGGCAAGCTTCCTGAACACGGAGATGCATGGAGAGACCATCTGCAGCCATGCTCAGGACGCATTGCTCCCCTGCGCCTTGTATATAAGCTGTGATTCACGTTAGTGTTGACACGTAAGCACAAGACGAGTCATGGCGTGCATACCTTGATCCAGAAATTCATGTGCTCTTGAAGGAGATCGACAGGTACCCAGGCGTTTGGCTTGCCAGTCGGGTTGACAAGCCAATTATTGATCATGATAGCTCTCGAAGCAGGTTAGCCACAGAGAAAGGACCCTTGACATTCAGAGCACTGGGGACTCACCGAAGAGGGCCAGGCCAGACCCGTGTCAAGTTGTGGATAAGGTGGAGACATTCGTGGGCATACTTGAGGCGACCGCTGCCTCGGTACATGAACGTGAGTATCTTCAGTGCGCGAACGATGCGGCCTGAGTACCCCCCCTTGATGGCGTCTGTAAACTCGCGAAATACCAAGGCGTCGCGTATGAAGAGAGATGCATTCTCAAATACCATATCGCCGCTCGTCAACGGCTGGGAATATGAATCGAAGGGCTGCGTGACGTCGCGATTGGATGGAGTAGTCGCGGCTTGTTGTCGTATACGCTCCCCAACTTCCTCCTGCCGGGAGAGACGGAGTTCGGCTACTGCATCAGGGGCTACATACCTGTCATAGATCTTTGTGATATCTTTTCTAAGCGTTCGGAATGAGAGATCAGCAGTATACTTCTCTAAGGACTCAGCGCCGCAGACAAGCCCCAGGCAATGCAGCGAGGCGGCCGAAAGAGTCGTAAAAATAAGGTTGCGACAAACGCGATAGGGTGGGAGGGAGGAGGGAACGATGGGCTTGCGATCGAGTACTGTGTTGAAAAAGGAGAGAGAGGCAGGGTTTCGATGGCCTGCCGTGGGGTCGCCGAAGTGCGTCTCAATGATTCCGTGGGTGACAGCCATCTGGTGATGGAAGAAGCCTGGCCCAAAGACGATGTTGGCATAGGACTGGGCACTGTCTTCATGTCCAGCGCGGTTAGATATAATTGTACGCGAGCGAGAGATGGAGAGTTGGTCGCCAAAAACGAGTGCGGCGAATGCAGGGAAATTAGGCCGCCGACGTGCGTACTCGAGCTCTGTGAAAATCGTATCGAGAACTTCGGTGTTTCCAGTTGGACTTGATTCGTCGATGTTCATGGCGGGCAAAGGGTACGTCTCCGTTTTGTGGAGGGACATCTGGTCGTCGGTGGCTGGTAGGCAGGCATCGGCGTCGGCGCGGAAGCGGGCAAACAGATCGGAGCTGGAGATGATGGTACGTAGAATTGTGTGTTCGAGAGATTTACGAAAAAGTTGGGCCTCAGCTGGGGTATGATAGATGTCCCCCATGGCCAAGGGCGCAGCTGCATCGAAGGTCGCGAGGAGATCGGCGGTCTTCATGTTGTCGGGGGCGGCGTCATGGAGAGGAAATACTGTAGCGCATGTCCCATTCTCCTGCGTGTCTTTGCGACCCAGGATCTGCTCAGCAACCTTGAAGACCATATTGATATTATCGTAAACGTGACCTAAGACAGTAGTCTCGCCACAATCGCGAGCAGAGAGGCGACAAGACTCCGAGATGCGGCGGAGTAAACCAGCGCCGCGTGAGAGGAGGTCCAAAGCGCGCGAGGTCGCTGTGGACGGGCGCTCGATCGCGTCCTCGATCGCGCCTCCTTGGTCTTGAGAGTGACCGCCTCGCTTGCTCCGTCCAGTCTCGCCGACAACTTCCACAGCGATGGCGTCTTGGTGTGGAATCTCTGCGGGACTTGAATCTAGCTCCTCCTCCACTAGCTCGTCATGGCCAGGTTCGCTCTCAGTGTCGGGGTCGTCACTGCTGTCCTGCGCGGTTGGTTCCCAGTCGGGGTCATTGTCCTCGCTCTCGTCCTCGATGTCGGTGATTGTTTGTCTTGTGGACTCTGTCTCTTCTGAACTAGGGCTCCCTGCTATACCTGTATAACTACTGGAAACCCCTATGCTCGACATTATGGCGATCAGCTGGCACGATGCTCCGTTCATGTACATGTACAGCCCGATGAGATTCCTCATCAGACTGTTCTGTTGACTCCGCTCTCCTAACAGGGTTGTCATTGCGAAACCAACGCGCTGTGGTTTTTGAGGCAAGTAAGTAAGCTTTCCTCTTAAATGATTTTAATTCTACCTTTTCTTTGCGGGCATTTCTCTTGGCCAGTCGCGCTCTGTCACGGCTGGTTTGCGCGACAGTGTTGTCTTTGAGTTGACGGGTTGTCGTGCTGAAAGCGAACATGATGCTGGCCATTGTTGGGCATAAGGTGCGTACTCTGTCGTGGATGGAAGACAGGCTGAGGGAGAGGAAGAAATCGCCCGAAATGGGCTGCCGCCTGGTCATGAGCACACCGTCAAGAGTCGCCTTCGTGGCTTCCTGGCTGACCACTCTCTCCATGTACTCTGTAGCCCAGGTCCGAACGTCCCGTCGGCCAGTAGGGGAGTTCTTGGTCGTCCACAGGTCTAGAATGCGCACCACCTGTGACCTCCCGGTCTGCCGTTCTCGGGGCCTGAAGAGGCCGTCGTATCGCTGCTGAGCGGCTCCTGAGGTGGGTGTCGATATCCACTCCACGAAGTCACCCCATGTCTGACCATGTAATTTGAGCTTTTCCAGGACGGCCTCGAAGCATTCAGCGCGTTCGTCCTTGGTCGCGAGCCCAGCAAGGTTTCGCGCATCGTGTTCGGCGTGTACGGCAGCACGTAGCTCTTCTTCGTGCGCTTGTGCGCGTGCGGCGTGATGTGCCGCAAGCGATTGCTGGCGCGTCATCTCCTTCTTCTTCCGTCGCTTTTGTCTTGTATGAGGAGAGGACCACTGCACGCCGGGGTCACTTGAGTCTGCCCCAAACATGAGGCCTTCTGAGCCCATGTCTACCATTCGCGGTGTCCGAGGGCTATGTGGACTACGACGCAACATTGGCGCGGGAGACTGTACATACATAGCGTAAGACATTGTTGTCGCACACGACAAGGAGCTAACCTTTGCGTTGTTGTCGTGCACATGCTCTGGCTCGACGTCCCTCCTCTCTGGCGCGTTATCGAGAGCCTCGGGAGCCTTGAGACCCTCAGCGGCTTCATGACGAAGCTCATCTCGCGCAATGGTGCCATCTCCACCAAGAAGACACAGACGTTCGCGGCGGTTTTCATCTGCGTCCTTGTTGACTGTCTCGTCCATGGGTTCCAGCGGGTCGGTGGGTATCGCAGACAGTTCGCTCAGCGGGGAAGAAGGTGGCAAGGGGGATAAGGTGAGCAGATCGTTGAGAAAGCCTAAGTCCGCCATATTGATCCGTGCACACAGGTAGTCGTGTACTGCGAGAGGACAGGGTGATAACCAGTTCGCAATAACCCATTGCGATCTGGACACTTTGTCGTGCAATGTCCTCAGAGGCTGACGGGGGCCTGAAGAAGGCGCCCGATGGCCAATTCTCCTCGTCCTCCAAGTAGTAACCCTGTCTGCGCTGTCATTATTCTCTGCTTGTAATGCTATAATGCCCACCAATGCCCATGTCTCGTCTCGCCGCCATCAACGCCTATACGGCGTACAAAAATCCGCTATCTCTATCCTGCCGCGCCCGAAGCTCTCTCAGGACGACCTCAAAGTCCTCGCCGCGAAAATGCGGTCCGCATATTGCTGGGACGCCGATCCCAAAGACTTTCAGCTTCGTGGGGTTCAGGCGCAAATTGAAGGCACCGACATAATTGTGCAGGCCCCTACGGGCGCGGGCAAGACTGCTCTTGCCGCTGGACCCCATCTATGGCCTGGAAATGAAACGAAATTTACCATCATGGTTTGTCCTCTCCTTTCTCTCGAAGAAGAAATGGTGAGTGCGAATTATGCTGCACGGGATGCATGCTCATAACTGGCAATGACAGTGCCAAACTTTTGTTACCGAGTTTGGGCTACAAGCAATCGCCTTGAATAGCAAGAATGGGGCGTGTTCCCCTCGCATGATCAAGGTGTGCTGGTCAGAACACCAATGTGGCTAACCTTATACTCAACTCTGCAATACAGGACATACTGGCCCACAAGTACAAAATTATCATCGTCTCCCCCGAAATGCTTCAGTCGCGCACGTTCACGAACCGCATCCTTCGCAACAGTCGGTTCATGAAGGACATCATATCGTTGTTCATAGATGAGGCCCATTGTATTGTCCTTTGGGGCGCCGACTTTCGCAAGAAGTATGGCACACTGGGCAAGGTGCGCGCATTTTTACCACGCGGCACACCTGTGATCGCTGTCTCCGCTACCCTCTCCCCTCGTGTAGTTCGAGCCATTTGGGCATCACTACACTTCTCCCAATCCGACACCCAGAGCCGCTACGAAAATGAAGGCAACGACCGTGCGAACGTCGCAATCGTTGTTCGCGCTTGCGAACATCCTCTGAACACCTATGCTGATCTTAGCTTTGTCATACCCCCCACCCTTGAGTCCATCAACGACATCCCAAAAACGTACATATACGTTGACAACATTGCTACTGGTGGCGAAATCATAGACTACCTGAATCGCCAACTCGAAAAACATCGCGACCTCGCAACGGCTCCTGCCCCCCTCCATGACTCGTTTTGCGGCATCATCCGCCCTTTCAACGCCACCCTGTCACACCGCTACCGAACGCTGGCAATGTCCTACTTCCGTGAGGGCCGTATTCATGTATTGGTCTGCACCGATGCAGCTGGTATGGTAGGTCAATTCACGTGCCCCACCTCTCCTGTTCCCACGTCATCTCTTAGCCCCATTTGGGTGATGTTCTCCGAGCTGCACGTCCCTTGTCCAAGCTGTCCTTGTCTACATTCCGCAAGCCATCCATGCATTGCTGACGACTGGTCGCATCTACCCACAGGGGTGCGACATCCCGGACATCGACCGTGTCATTCAGTGGAAGCTCCCTGCCACCTTCTCGCAGTTTATCCAACGCGCAGGACGCGCTGCTCGTGGGAGAGATCGCACTGGGATCGCCATTTTACTGGTAGAGCGATCGGCATACAGCATCGATCTGTTGGCATCCACCGACAAAGCTACCTCTCTATCGCGCCCCAAATTGAAAGGGAAGGCCGTCAACCGCACAGATCGCCAGGCCGAACAACTTAAGGAGAAGCGCGACAGAGCTGACATCCGCGAATACGCACTCGCCCACGGTGTCGCGCGAGGAGGATCCGCCCGAGAAGACGCCCTCCCGGATGGCCCTCAGCCCCCCATCCACGAGGATAGCGCTGATGAGGGCCTCTTGACCTTTGTCCAGAGCACCTCATGCCGCCGCAAAATATGGGCGGCAGTATTCGACAATTCACATCCCTTGAGTAAGTGTAGCTAAAAACATGTTCATGGGCCCCTTATTGACAACGTACGTAGGCCCTGTTGTACCCTGTTGCGACATCTGCGTGCCGTCTCTGTTGGACCGGGCACGGCCACCGTCTCTCCCACCCGAACGACGTGCACGCAATCCCAAGCGGGGACAACCAGACTGTGAAGCACGGGACAAGCTCCGTGCTTGGAGGAAGTATATTTTTCGCAAGCACCATGCGTCGGCACAATATGACCAGACGTCTATCCTCGATGAAGAGCTAATCCTCTTACTCGTCTCGCATGGTCCTCTCAGCGTCAAGCAAGCTCTCGATCTTATCAAAGATAAGTGGCCATTCTACGATATGTATGCTGAAGAGCTGGGAGCATTTCTCGCCGATGTCAAGGTCAAATTTATTCCCCTCCCTACCAAATCCCGCGGCCAGGAAGCCGCCCTTGTAACTCCCATCCCTGAACAAGTTCACCTCGCAGCTCCATCCCTCACTAGGCGATACAAACGCGCGCCAACTCCCACGTATCTCTCCCGCGCCAACGAGACCCCCAAGCGTCCGAGAATAGACCCGTTACCGTCTGCGATCCCGGTCCCGAATAGAGGCCCACGACCGGTGACGTTCCATCCACCCACATTCACGCCACCGCATCCACCTCCACCGCGTTTGCTCTATAGTTCCCAATCGCAACCACCCCCTTTTCTCCCGCCTCTGTCACCGACACCAGCCCCCCTGCAAGACATGTCTGTGTCCACCGTCCATAGCCCATCCTATCTCCCACTTTCCCTGCCATCAACACCTGGTCCTCCCTCAACTCTGTACCGCGAGCACACATCCCTGCTTCCACCCCTCGCAACTCCGCGCTATCCGCCTCCACTGGCAACTTCCTTAGGCCCGAATCTCACACCGTCGCGACCACCATCACGACCCTTTCCCCAGCACCACCACCAGCCCGCATCCCAGCCCTATCCTACTCCTGAGTCGTCGCGCCCCCCTTCGCGACTCTATCAGCAGGCATCTCAAATGTATCTTCCAGGCACTCTTCCTCGGACGTCTGTGTTTTCCCCACCATACGCGCATCCGTCCCCACTGCCGGCCCCAGATATGTGCGCTCTCACATACACTGTTGAACCCGGGGGGCGAAGGCCTCTCCCACGGGTGGCAACGACAGCGGATAGCCTGCAACTCACCTAGAAGGGTTGTTGGTTGTAAGAGGCTTGTTAGAGCGATGAGAGGAGATGTTCGAGTGAACTGAACTGTAGATTGGGGGTACAGAGATCCCCTATATATACTACCGTACATCTGTGGCTACGTAGTACTATACAGTACATTCCCAGGATGCACAGTCGCACAGAGAAGCAGTGCGTACACAGCAAAGCTGTGTGTGTACCACATGAGTAGTACAGCCTCGGTTATTGCAGTAACCGGCTGTGCCGTTCCATATCTTGTGACGGCTGTGTTAGGCAAGCTGTGTAAACC